CCTCACAAGCACCCCTGCCGTGTGCCCTCAAAGCACCCCTGCCGTGGTGCCCTCAAAGCACCCCTGCCGTGGTGCCCTCAAAGCACCCCTGCCGTGGTGCCCTCAAAGCACCCCTGCCGTGGTGCCCTCAAAGCACCCCTGCCGTGGTGCCCTCAAAGCACCCCTGCCGTGGTGCCCTCAAAGCACCCCTGCCGTGGTGCCCTCAAAGCACCCCTGCCGTGGTGCCCTCAAAGCACCCCTGCCGTGGTGCCCTCAAAGCACCCCTGCCGTGGTGCCCTCAAAGCACCCCTGCCGTGGTGCCCTCAAAGCACCCCTGCCGTGGTGCCCTCAAAGCACCCCTGCCGTGGTGCCCTCAAAGCACCCCTGCCGTGGTGCCCTCAAAGCACCCCTGCCGTGGTGCCCTCAAAGCACCCCTGCCGTGGTGCCCTCAAAGCACCCCTGCCGTGGTGCCCTCAAAGCACCCCTGCCGTGGTGCCCTCAAAGCACCCCTGCCGTGGTGCCCTCAAAGCACCCCTGCCGTGGTGCCCTCAAAGCACCCCTGCCGTGGTGCCCTCAAAGCACCCTGCCGTGGTGCCCTCGTGGTGCCCTCAAAGCACCCCTGCCGTGGTGCCCTCAAAGCACCCCTGCCGTGGTGCCCTCAAAGCACCCCTGCCGTGGTGCCCTCAAAGCACCCCTGCCGTGGTGCCCTCAAAGCACCCTGCCGTGGTGCCCTCAAAGCACCCCTGCCGTGGTGCCCTCAAACGGGCCAACCCCTGCCGTGGTGCCCTCAAAGCACCCCTGCCGTGGTGCCCTCCAAGCACCCCTGCCGTGTGGTGCCCTCAAAGCACCCCTGCCGTGGTTGCCCTCAAAGCACCCCTGCCGTGGTGCCCTCAAAGCACCCCTGCCGTGGTGCCCTCAAAGCACCCCTGCCGTGGTGCCCTCAAAGCACCCCTGCCGTGGTGCCCTCAAAGCACCCCTGCCGTGGTGCCCTCAAAGCACCCCTGCCGTGGTGCCCTCAAAGCACCCCTGCCGTGGTGCCCCTCAAAGCACCCCTGCCGTGGTGCCCTCAAAGCACCCCTGCCGTGGTGCCCTCAAAGCACCCCTGCCGTGGTGCCCTCAAAGCACCCCTGCCGTGGTGCCCTCAAAGCACCCCTGCCGTGGTGCCCTCAAAGCACCCCTGCCGTGGTGCCCTCAAAGCACCCCTGCCGTGGTGCCCTCAAAGCACCCCTGCCGTGGTGCCCTCAAAGCACCCCTGCCGTGGTGCCCTCAAAGCACCCCTGCCGTGGTGCCCTCAAAGCACCCCTGCCGTGGTGCCCTCAAAGCACCCCTGCCGTGGTGCCCTCAAAGCACCCCTGCCGTGGTGCCCTCAAAGCACCCCTGCCGTGGTGCCCTCAAAGCACCCCTGCCGTGGTGCCCTCAAAGCACCCCTGCCGTGGTGCCCTCAAAGCACCCCTGCCGTGGTGCCCTCAAAGCACCCCTGCCGTGGTGCCCTCAAAGCACCCCTGCCGTGGTGCCCTCAAAGCACCCCTGCCGTGGTGCCCTCAAAGCACCCCTGCCGTGGTGCCCTCAAAGCACCCCTGCCGTGGTGCCCTCAAAGCACCCCTGCCGTGGTGCCCTCAAAGCACCCCTGCCGTGGTGCCCTCAAAGCACCCCTGCCGTGGTGCCCTCAAAGCACCCCTGCCGTGGTGCCCTCAAAGCACCCCTGCCGTGGTGCCCTCAAAGCACCCCTGCCGTGGTGCCCTCAAAGCACCCCTGCCGTGGTGCCCTCAAAGCACCCCTGCCGTGGTGCCCTCAAAGCACCCCTGCCGTGGTGCCCTCAAAGCACCCCTGCCGTGGTGCCCTCAAAGCACCCCTGCCGTGGTGCCCTCAAAGCACCCCTGCCGTGGTGCCCTCAAAGCACCCCTGCCGTGGTGCCCTCAAAGCACCCCTGCCGTGGTGCCCTCAAAGCACCCCTGCCGTGGTGCCCTCAAAGCACCCCTGCCGTGGTGCCCTCAAAGCACCCCTGCCGTGGTGCCCTCAAAGCACCCCTGCCGTGGTGCCCTCAAAGCACCCCTGCCGTGGTGCCCTCAAAGCACCCCTGCCGTGGTGCCCTCAAAGCACCCCTGCCGTGGTGCCCTCAAAGCACCCCTGCCGTGGTGCCCTCAAAGCACCCCTGCCGTGGTGCCCTCAAAGCACCCTGCCGTGGTGCCCTCAAAGCACCCCTGCCGTGGTGCCCTCAAAGCACCCCTGCCGTGGTGCCCTCAAAGCACCCCTGCCGTGGTGCCCTCAAAGCACCCCTGCCGTGGTGCCCTCAAAGCACCCCTGCCGTGGTGCCCTCAAAGCACCCCTGCCGTGGTGCCCTCAAAGCACCCCTGCCGTGGTGCCCTCAAAGCACCCCTGCCGTGGTGCCCTCAAAGCACCCCTGCCGTGGTGCCCTCAAAGCACCCCTGCCGTGGTGCCCTCAAAGCACCCCTGCCGTGGTGCCCTCAAAGCACCCCTGCCGTGGTGCCCTCAAAGCACCCCTGCCGTGGTGCCCTCAAAGCACCCCTGCCGTGGTGCCCTCAAAGCACCCCTGCCGTGGTGCCCTCAAAGCACCCCTGCCGTGGTGCCCTCAAAGCACCCCTGCCGTGGTGCCCTCAAAGCACCCCTGCCGTGGTGCCCTCAAAGCACCCCTGCCGTGGTGCCCTCAAAGCACCCCTGCCGTGGTGCCCTCAAAGCACCCCTGCCGTGGTGCCCTCAAAGCACCCCTGCCGTGGTGCCCTCAAAGCACCCCTGCCGTGGTGCCCTCAAAGCACCCCTGCCGTGGTGCCCTCAAAGCACCCCTGCCGTGGTGCCCTCAAAGCACCCCTGCCGTGGTGCCCTCAAAGCACCCCTGCCGTGGTGCCCTCAAAGCACCCCTGCCGTGGTGCCCTCAAAGCACCCCTGCCGTGGTGCCCTCAAAGCACCCCTGCCGTGGTGCCCTCAAAGCACCCCTGCCGTGGTGCCCTCAAAGCACCCCTGCCGTGGTGCCCTCAAAGCACCCCTGCCGTGGTGCCCTCAAAGCACCCCTGCCGTGGTGCCCTCAAAGCACCCCTGCCGTGGTGCCCTCAAAGCACCCCTGCCGTGGTGCCCTCAAAGCACCCCTGCCGTGGTGCCCTCAAAGCACCCCTGCCGTGGTGCCCTCAAAGCACCCCTGCCGTGGTGCCCTCAAAGCACCCCTGCCGTGGTGCCCTCAAAGCACCCCTGCCGTGGTGCCCTCAAAGCACCCCTGCCGTGGTGCCCTCAAAGCACCCCTGCCGTGGTGCCCTCAAAGCACCCCTGCCGTGGTGCCCTCAAAGCACCCCTGCCGTGGTGCCCTCAAAGCACCCCTGCCGTGGTGCCCCTCAAAGCACCCCTGCCGTGGTGCCCTCAAAGCACCCCTGCCGTGGTGCCCTCAAAGCACCCCTGCCGTGGTGCCCTCAAAGCAACCCCTGCCGTGGTGCCCTCAAGCATGCACCCTGCCGTGGTGCCCTCAAAGCACCCCTGCCGTGGTGCCCTCAAAGCACCCCTGCCGTGGTGCCCTCAAAGCACCCCTGCCGTGGGTGCCCTCAAAGCCCCCTGCCGTGGTGCCCTCCAAGCACCCCTGCCGTGGTGCCCTCAAAGCACCCCTGCCGTGGTGCCCTCAAAGCACCCCTGCCGTGGTGCCCTCAAAGCACCCCTGCCGTGGTGCCCTCAAAGCACCCCTGCCGTGGTGCCCTCAAAGCACCCCTGCCGTGGTGCCCTCAAAGCACCCCTGCCGTGGTGCCCTCAAAGCACCCCTGCCGTGGTGCCCTCAAAGCACCCCCTGCCGTGGTGCCCTCAAAGCACCCCTGCCGTGGTGCCCTCAAAGCACCCCTGCCGTGGTGCCCTCAAAGCACCCCTGCCGTGGTGCCCTCAAAGCACCCCTGCCGTGGTGCCCTCAAAGCACCCCTGCCGTGGTGCCCTCAAAGCACCCCTGCCGTGGTGCCCTCAAAGCACCCCTGCCGTGGTGCCCTCAAAGCACCCCTGCCGTGGTGCCCTCAAAGCACCCCTGCCGTGGTGCCCTCAAAGCACCCCTGCCGTGGTGCCCTCAAAGCACCCCTGCCGTGGTGCCCTCAAAGCACCCCTGCCGTGGTGCCCTCAAAGCACCCCTGCCGTGGTGCCCTCAAAGCACCCCTGCCGTGGTGCCCTCAAAGCACCCCTGCCGTGGTGCCCTCAAAGCACCCCTGCCGTGGTGCCCTCAAAGCACCCCTGCCGTGGTGCCCTCAAAGCACCCCTGCCGTGGTGCCCTCAAAGCACCCCTGCCGTGGTGCCCTCAAAGCACCCCTGCCGTGGTGCCCTCAAAGCACCCCTGCCGTGGTGCCCTCAAAGCACCCCTGCCGTGGTGCCCTCAAAGCACCCCTGCCGTGGTGCCCTCAAAGCACCCCTGCCGTGGTGCCCTCAAAGCACCCCTGCCGTGGTGCCCTCAAAGCACCCCTGCCGTGGTGCCCTCAAAGCACCCCTGCCGTGGTGCCCTCAAAGCACCCCTGCCGTGGTGCCCTCAAAGCACCCCTGCCGTGGTGCCCTCAAAGCACCCCTGCCGTGGTGCCCTCAAAGCACCCCTGCCGTGGTGCCCTCAAAGCACCCCTGCCGTGGTGCCCTCAAAGCACCCCTGCCGTGGTGCCCTCAAAGCACCCCTGCCGTGGTGCCCTCAAAGCACCCCTGACCGTGGTGCCCTCAAAGCACCCCTGCCGTGGTGCCCTCAAAGCACCCCTGCCGTGGTGCCCTCAAAGCACCCCTGCCGTGGTGCCCTCAAAGCACCCCTGCCGTGGTGCCCTCAAAGCACCCCTGCCGTGGTGCCCTCAAAGCACCCCTGCCGTGGTGCCCTCAAAGCACCCCTGCCGTGGTGCCCTCAAAGCACCCCTGCCGTGGTGCCCTCAAAGCACCCCTGCCGTGGTGCCCTCAAAGCACCCCTGCCGTGGTGCCCTCAAAGCACCCCTGCCGTGGTGCCCTCAAAGCACCCCTGCCGTGGTGCCCTCAAAGCACCCCTGCCGTGGTGCCCTCAAAGCACCCCTGCCGTGGTGCCCTCAAAGCACCCCTGCCGTGGTGCCCTCAAAGCACCCCTGCCGTGGTGCCCTCAAAGCACCCCTGCCGTGGTGCCCTCAAGCACCCCTGCCGTGGTGCCCTCAAAGCACCCCTGCCGTGGTGCCCTCAAAGCACCCCTGCCGTGGTGCCCTCAAAGCACCCCTGCCGTGGTGCCCTCAAAGCACCCCTGCCGTGGTGCCCTCAAAGCACCCCTGCCGTGGTGCCCTCAAAGCACCCCTGCCGTGGTGCCCTCAAAGCACCCCTGCCGTGGTGCCCTCAAAGCACCCCTGCCGTGGTGCCCTCAAAGCACCCCTGCCGTGGTGCCCTCAAAGCACCCCTGCCGTGGTGCCCTCAAAGCACCCCTGCCGTGGTGCCCTCAAAGCACCCCTGCCGTGGTGCCCTCAAAGCACCCCTGCCGTGGTGCCCTCAAAGCACCCCTGCCGTGGTGCCCTCAAAGCACCCCTGCCGTGGTGCCCTCAAAGCACCCCTGCCGTGGTGCCCTCAAAGCACCCCTGCCGTGGTGCCCTCAAAGCACCCCTGCCGTGGTGCCCTCAAAGCACCCCTGGCAAGCACCCCTGCCGTGGTGCCCTCAAAGCACCCCTGCCGTGGTGCCCTCAAAGCACCCCTGCCGTGGTGCCCTCAAAGCACCCCTGCCGTGGTGCCCCTCAAAGCACCCCTGCCGTGGTGCCCTCAAAGCACCCCTGCCGTGGTGCCCTCAAAGCACCCCTGCCGTGGTGCCCTCAAAGCACCCCTGCCGTGGTGCCCTCAAAGCACCCCTGCCGTGGTGCCCTCAAAGCACCCCTGCCGTGGTGCCCTCAAAGCACCCCTGCCGTGGTGCCCTCAAAGCACCCCTGCCGTGGTGCCCTCAAAGCACCCCTGCCGTGGTGCCCTCAAAGCACCCCTGCCGTGGTGCCCTCAAAGCACCCCTGCCGTGGTGCCCTCAAAGCACCCCTGCCGTGGTGCCCTCAAAGCACCCCTGCCGTGGTGCCCTCAAAGCACCCCTGCCGTGGTGCCCTCAAAGCACCCCTGCCGTGGTGCCCTCAAAGCACCCCTGCCGTGGTGCCCTCAAAGCACCCCTGCCGTGGTGCCCTCAAAGCACCCCTGCCGTGGTGCCCTCAAAGCACCCCTGCCGTGGTGCCCTCAAAGCACCCCTGCCGTGGTGCCCTCAAAGCACCCCTGCCGTGGTGCCCTCAAAGCACCCCTGCCGTGGTGCCCTCAAAGCACCCCTGCCGTGGTGCCCTCAAAGCACCCCTGCCGTGGTGCCCTCAAAGCACCCCTGCCGTGGTGCCCTCAAAGCACCCCTGCCGTGGTGCCCTCAAAGCACCCCTGCCGTGGTGCCCTCAAAGCACCCCTGCCGTGGTGCCCTCAAAGCACCCCTGCCGTGGTGCCCTCAAAGCACCCCTGCCGTGGTGCCCTCAAAGCACCCCTGCCGTGGTGCCCTCAAAGCACCCCTGCCGTGGTGCCCTCAAAGCACCCCTGCCGTGGTGCCCTCAAAGCACCCCTGCCGTGGTGCCCTCAAAGCACCCCTGCCGTGGTGCCCTCAAAGCACCCCTGCCGTGGTGCCCTCAAAGCACCCCTGCCGTGGTGCCCTCAAAGCACCCCTGCCGTGGTGCCCTCAAAGCACCCCTGCCGTGGTGCCCTCAAAGCACCCCTGCCGTGGTGCCCTCAAAGCACCCCTGCCGTGGTGCCCTCAAAGCACCCCTGCCGTGGTGCCCTCAAAGCACCCCTGCCGTGGTGCCCTCAAAGCACCCCTGCCGTGGTGCCCTCAAAGCACCCCTGCCGTGGTGCCCTCAAAGCACCCCTGCCGTGGTGCCCTCAAAGCACCCCTGCCGTGGTGCCCTCAAAGCACCCCTGCCGTGGTGCCCTCAAAGCACCCCTGCCGTGGTGCCCTCAAAGCACCCCTGCCGTGGTGCCCTCAAAGCACCCCTGCCGTGGTGCCCTCAAAGCACCCCTGCCGTGGTGCCCTCAAAGCACCCCTGCCGTGGTGCCCTCAAAGCACCCCTGCCGTGGTGCCCTCAAAGCACCCCTGCCGTGGTGCCCTCAAAGCACCCCTGCCGTGGTGCCCTCAAAGCACCCCTGCCGTGGTGCCCTCAAAGCACCCCTGCCGTGGTGCCCTCAAAGCACCCCTGCCGTGGTGCCCTCAAAGCACCCCTGCCGTGGTGCCCTCAAAGCACCCCTGCCGTGGTGCCCTCAAAGCACCCCTGCCGTGGTGCCCTCAAAGCACCCCTGCCGTGGTGCCCTCAAAGCACCCCTGCCGTGGTGCCCTCAAAGCACCCCTGCCGTGGTGCCCTCAAAGCACCCCTGCCGTGGTGCCCTCAAAGCACCCCTGCCGTGGTGCCCTCAAAGCACCCCTGCCGTGGTGCCCTCAAAGCACCCCTGCCGTGGTGCCCTCAAAGCACCCCTGCCGTGGTGCCCTCAAAGCACCCCTGCCGTGGTGCCCTCAAAGCACCCCTGCCGTGGTGCCCTCAAAGCACCCCTGCCGTGGTGCCCTCAAAGCACCCCTGCCGTGGTGCCCTCAAAGCACCCCTGCCGTGGTGCCCTCAAAGCACCCCTGCCGTGGTGCCCTCAAAGCACCCCTGCCGTGGTGCCCTCAAAGCACCCCTGCCGTGGTGCCCTCAAAGCACCCCTGCCGTGGTGCCCTCAAAGCACCCCTGCCGTGGTGCCCTCAAAGCACCCCTGCCGTGGTGCCCTCAAAGCACCCCTGCCGTGGTGCCCTCAAAGCACCCCTGCCGTGGTGCCCTCAAAGCACCCCTGCCGTGGTGCCCTCAAAGCACCCCTGCCGTGGTGCCCTCAAAGCACCCCTGCCGTGGTGCCCTCAAAGCACCCCTGCCGTGGTGCCCTCAAAGCACCCCTGCCGTGGTGCCTCAAAGCACCCCTGCCGTGGTGCCCTCAAAGCACCCCTGCCGTGGTGCCCTCAAAGCACCCCTGCCGTGGTGCCCTCAAAGCACCCCTGCCGTGGTGCCCTCAAAGCACCCCTGCCGTGGTGCCCTCAAAGCACCCCTGCCGTGGTGCCCTCAAAGCACCCCTGCCGTGGTGCCCTCAAAGCACCCCTGCCGTGGTGCCCTCAAAGCACCCCTGCCGTGGTGCCCTCAAAGCACCCCTGCCGTGGTGCCCTCAAAGCACCCCTGCCGTGGTGCCCTCAAAGCACCCCTGCCGTGGTGCCCTCAAAGCACCCCTGCCGTGGTGCCCTCAAAGCACCCCTGCCGTGGTGCCCTCAAAGCACCCCTGCCGTGGTGCCCTCAAAGCACCCCTGCCGTGGTGCCCTCAAAGCACCCCTGCCGTGGTGCCCTCAAAGCACCCCTGCCGTGGTGCCCTCAAAGCACCCCTGCCGTGGTGCCCTCAAAGCACCCCTGCCGTGGTGCCCTCAAAGCACCCCTGCCGTGGTGCCCTCAAAGCACCCCTGCCGTGGTGCCCTCAAAGCACCCCTGCCGTGGTGCCCTCAAAGCACCCTGCCGTGGTGCCCTCAAAGCACCCCTGCCGTGGTGCCCTCAAAGCACCCCTGCCGTGGTGCCCTCAAAGCACCCCTGCCGTGGTGCCCTCAAAGCACCCCTGCCGTGGTGCCCTCAAAGCACCCCTGCCGTGGTGCCCTCAAAGCACCCCTGCCGTGGTGCCCTCAAAGCACCCCTGCCGTGGTGCCCTCAAAGCACCCCTGCCGTGGTGCCCTCAAAGCACCCCTGCCGTGGTGCCCTCAAAGCACCCCTGCCGTGGTGCCCTCAAAGCACCCCTGCCGTTGGTGCCCCTCAAAGCACCCCTGCCGTGGTGCCCTCAAAGCACCCCTGCCGTGGTGCCCTCAAAGCACCCCTGCCGTGGTGCCCTCAAAGCACCCCTGCCGTGGTGCCCTCAAAGCACCCCTGCCGTGGTGCCCTCAAAGCACCCCTGCCGTGGTGCCCTCAAAGCACCCCTGCCGTGGTGCCCTCAAAGCACCCCTGCCGTGGTGCCCTCAAAGCACCCCTGCCGTGGTGCCCTCAAAGCACCCCTGCCGTGGTGCCCTCAAAGCACCCCTGCCGTGGTGCCCTCAAAGCACCCCTGCCGTGGTGCCCTCAAAGCACCCCTGCCGTGGTGCCCTCAAAGCACCCCTGCCGTGGTGCCCTCAAAGCACCCCTGCCGTGGTGCCCTCAAAGCACCCCTGCCGTGGTGCCCTCAAAGCACCCCTGCCGTGGTGCCCTCAAAGCACCCCTGCCGTGGTGCCCTCAAAGCACCCCTGCCGTGGTGCCCTCAAAGCACCCCTGCCGTGGTGCCCTCAAAGCACCCCTGCCGTGGTGCCCTCAAAGCACCCCTGCCGTGGTGCCCTCAAAGCACCCCTGCCGTGGTGCCCTCAAAGCACCCCTGCCGTGGTGCCCTCAAAGCACCCCTGCCGTGGTGCCCTCAAAGCACCCCTGCCGTGGTGCCCTCAAAGCACCCCTGCCGTGGTGCCCTCAAAGCACCCCTGCCGTGGTGCCCTCAAAGCACCCCTGCCGTGGTGCCCTCAAAGCACCCCTGCCGTGGTGCCCTCAAAGCACCCCTGCCGTGGTGCCCTCAAAGCACCCCTGCCGTGGTGCCCTCAAAGCACCCCTGCCGTGGTGCCCTCAAAGCACCCCTGCCGTGGTGCCCTCAAAGCACCCCTGCCGTGGTGCCCTCAAAGCACCCCTGCCGTGGTGCCCTCAAAGCACCCCTGCCGTGGTGCCCTCAAAGCACCCCTGCCGTGGTGCCCTCAAAGCACCCCTGCCGTGGTGCCCTCAAAGCACCCCTGCCGTGGTGCCCTCAAAGCACCCCTGCCGTGGTGCCCTCAAAGCACCCCTGCCGTGGTGCCCTCAAAGCACCCCTGCCGTGGTGCCCTCAAAGCACCCCTGCCGTGGTGCCCTCAAAGCACCCCTGCCGTGGTGCCCTCAAAGCACCCCTGCCGTGGTGCCCTCAAAGCACCCCTGCCGTGGTGCCCTCAAAGCACCCCTGCCGTGGTGCCCTCAAAGCACCCCTGCCGTGGTGCCCTCAAAGCACCCCTGCCGTGGTGCCCTCAAAGCACCCCTGCCGTGGTGCCCTCAAAGCACCCCTGCCGTGGTGCCCTCAAAGCACCCCTGCCGTGGTGCCCTCAAAGCACCCCTGCCGTGGTGCCCTCAAAGCACCCCTGCCGTGGTGCCCTCAAAGCACCCCTGCCGTGGTGCCCTCAAAGCACCCCTGCCGTGGTGCCCTCAAAGCACCCCTGCCGTGGTGCCCTCAAAGCACCCCTGCCGTGGTGCCCTCAAAGCACCCCTGCCGTGGTGCCCTCAAAGCACCCCTGCCGTGGTGCCCTCAAAGCACCCCTGCCGTGGTGCCCTCAAAGCACCCCTGCCGTGGTGCCCTCAAAGCACCCCTGCCGTGGTGCCCTCAAAGCACCCCTGCCGTGGTGCCCTCAAAGCACCCCTGCCGTGGTGCCCTCAAAGCACCCCTGCCGTGGTGCCCTCAAAGCACCCCTGCCGTGGTGCCCTCAAAGCACCCCTGCCGTGGTGCCCTCAAAGCACCCCTGCCGTGGTGCCCTCAAAGCACCCCTGCCGTGGTGCCCTCAAAGCACCCCTGCCGTGGTGCCCTCAAAGCACCCCTGCCGTGGTGCCCTCAAAGCACCCCTGCCGTGGTGCCCTCAAAGCACCCCTGCCGTGGTGCCCTCAAAGCACCCCTGCCGTGGTGCCCTCAAAGCACCCCTGCCGTGGTGCCCTCAAAGCACCCCTGCCGTGGTGCCCTCAAAGCACCCCTGCCGTGGTGCCCTCAAAGCACCCCTGCCGTGGTGCCCTCAAAGCACCCCTGCCGTGGTGCCCTCAAAGCACCCCTGCCGTGGTGCCCTCAAAGCACCCCTGCCGTTGGTGCCCTCAAAGCACCCCTGCCGTGGTGCCCTCAAAGCACCCCTGCCGTGGTGCCCTCAAAGCACCCCTGCCGTGGTGCCCTCAAAGCACCCCTGCCGTGGTGCCCTCAAAGCACCCCTGCCGTGGTGCCCTCAAAGCACCCCTGCCGTGGTGCCCTCAAAGCACCCCTGCCGTGGTGCCCTCAAAGCACCCCTGCCGTGGTGCCCTCAAAGCACCCCCTGCCGTGGTGCCCTCAAAGCACCCCTGCCGTGGTGCCCTCAAAGCACCCCTGCCGTGGTGCCCTCAAAGCACCCCTGCCGTGGTGCCCTCAAAGCACCCCTGCCGTGGTGCCCCTCAAAGCAACCCCTGCCGTGGTGCCCTCAAAGCACCCCTGCCGTGGTGCCCTCAAAGCACCCCTGCCGTGGTGCCCTCAAAGCACCCCTGCCGTGGTGCCCTCAAAGCACCCCTGCCGTGGTGCCCTCAAAGCACCCCTGCCGTGGTGCCCTCAAAGCACCCCTGCCGTGGTGCCCTCAAAGCACCCCTGCCGTGGTGCCCTCAAAGCACCCCTGCCGTGGTGCCCTCAAAGCACCCCTGCCGTGGTGCCCCTCAAAGCACCCCTGCCGTGGTGCCCTCAAAGCACCCCTGCCGTGGTGCCCTCAAAGCACCCCTGCCGTGGTGCCCTCAAAGCACCCCTGCCGTGGTGCCCTCAAAGCACCCCTGCCGTGGTGCCCTCAAAGCACCCCTGCCGTGGTGCCCTCAAAGCACCCCTGCCGTGGTGCCCTCAAAGCACCCCTGCCGTGGTGCCCTCAAAGCACCCCTGCCGTGGTGCCCTCAAAGCACCCCTGCCGTGGTGCCCTCAAAGCACCCCTGCCGTGGTGCCCTCAAAGCACCCCTGCCGTGGTGCCCTCAAAGCACCCCTGCCGTGGTGCCCTCAAAGCACCCCTGCCGTGGTGCCCTCAAAGCACCCCTGCCGTGGTGCCCTCAAAGCACCCCTGCCGTGGTGCCCTCAAAGCACCCCTGCCGTGGTGCCCTCAAAGCACCCCTGCCGTGGTGCCCTCAAAGCACCCCTGCCGTGGTGCCCTCAAAGCACCCCTGCCGTGGTGCCCTCAAAGCACCCCTGCCGTGGTGCCCTCAAAGCACCCCTGCCGTGGTGCCCTCAAAGCACCCCTGCCGTGGTGCCCTCAAAGCACCCCTGCCGTGGTGCCCTCAAAGCACCCCTGCCGTGGTGCCCTCAAAGCACCCCTGCCGTGGTGCCCTCAAAGCACCCCTGCCGTGGTGCCCTCAAAGCACCCCTGCCGTGGTGCAAGCCCTGCCCTCAAAGCACCCCTGCCGTGGTGCCCTCAAAGCACCCCTGCCGTGGTGCCCTCAAAGCACCCCTGCCGTGGTGCCCTCAAAGCACCCCTGCCGTGGTGCCCTCAAAGCACCCCTGCCGTGGTGCCCTCAAAGCACCCCTGCCGTGGGTGCCCTCAAAGCACCCCTGCCGTGGTGCCCTCAAAGCACCCCTGCCGTGGTGCCCTCAAAGCACCCCTGCCGTGGTGCCCTCAAAGCACCCCTGCCGTGGTGCCCTCAAAGCACCCCTGCCGTGGTGCCCTCAAAGCACCCCTGCCGTGGTGCCCTCAAAGCACCCCTGCCGTGGTGCCCTCAAAGCACCCCTGCCGTGGTGCCCTCAAAGCACCCCTGCCGTGGTGCCCTCAAAGCACCCCTGCCGTGGTGCCCTCAAAGCACCCCTGCCGTGGTGCCCTCAAAGCACCCCTGCCGTGGTGCCCTCAAAGCACCCCTGCCGTGGTGCCCTCAAAGCACCCCTGCCGTGGTGCCCTCAAAGCACCCCTGCCGTGGTGCCCTCAAAGCACCCCTGCCGTGGTGCCCTCAAAGCACCCCTGCCGTGGTGCCCTCAAAGCACCCCTGCCGTGGTGCCCTCAAAGCACCCCTGCCGTGGTGCCCTCAAAGCACCCCTGCCGTGGTGCCCTCAAAGCACCCCTGCCGTGGTGCCCTCAAAGCACCCCTGCCGTGGTGCCCTCAAAGCACCCCTGCCGTGGTGCCCTCAAAGCACCCCTGCCGTGGTGCCCTCAAAGCACCCCTGCCGTGGTGCCCTCAAAGCACCCCTGCCGTGGTGCCCTCAAAGCACCCCTGCCGTGGTGCCCTCAAAGCACCCCTGCCGTGGTGCCCTCAAAGACACCCCTGCCGTGGTGCCCTCAAAGCACCCCTGCCGTGGTGCCCTCAAAGCACCCCTGCCGTGGTGCCCTCAAAGCACCCCTGCCGTGGTGCCCTCAAAGCACCCCTGCCGTGGTGCCCTCAAAGCACCCCTGCCGTGGTGCCCTCAAAGCACCCCTGCCGTGGTGCCCTCAAAGCACCCCTGCCGTGGTGCCCTCAAAGCACCCCTGCCGTGGTTGCCCTCAAAGCACCCCTGCCGTGGTGCCCTCAAAGCACCCCTGCCGTGGTGCCCTCAAAGCACCCCTGCCGTGGTGCCCTCAAAGCACCCCTGCCGTGGTGCCCTCAAAAGCACCCCCTGCCGTGGTGCCCTCAAAGCACCCCTGCCGTGGTGCCCTCAAAGCACCCCTGCCGTGGTGCCCTCAAAGCACCCCTGCCGTGGTGCCCTCAAAGCACCCCTGCCGTGGTGCCCTCAAAGCACCCCTGCCGTGGTGCCCTCAAAGCACCACCCTGCCGTGGTGCCCTCAAAGCACCCCTGCCGTGGTGCCCTCAAAGCACCCCTGCCGTGGTGCCCTCAAAGCACCCCTGCCGTGGTGCCCTCAAAGCACCCCTGCCGTGGTGCCCTCAAAGCACCCCTGCCGTGGTGCCCTCAAAGCACCCCTGCCGTGGTGCCCTCAAAGCACCCCTGCCGTGGTGCCCTCAAAGCACCCCTGCCGTGGTGCCCTCAAAGCACCCCTGCCGTGGTGCCCTCAAAGCACCCCTGCCGTGGTGCCCTCAAAGCACCCCTGCCGTGGTGCCCTCAAAGCACCCCTGCCGTGGTGCCCTCAAAGCACCCCTGCCCGTGGTGCCCTCAAAGCACCCCTGCCGTGGTGCCCTCAAAGCACCCCTGCCGTGGTGCCCTCAAAGCACCCCTGCCGTGGTGCCCTCAAAGCACCCCTGCCGTGGTGCCCTCAAAGCACCCCTGCCGTGGTGCCCTCAAAGCACCCCTGCCGTGGTGCCCTCAAAGCACCCCTGCCGTGGTGCCCTCAAAGCACCCCTGCCGTGGTGCCCTCAAAGCACCCCTGCCGTGGTGCCCTCAAAGCACCCCTGCCGTGGTGCCCTCAAAGCACCCCTGCCGTGGTGCCCTCAAAGCACCCCTGCCGTGGTGCCCTCAAAGCACCCCTGCCGTGGTGCCCTCAAAGCACCCCTGCCGTGGTGCCCTCAAAGCACCCCTGCCGTGGTGCCCTCAAAGCACCCCTGCCGTGGTGCCCTCAAAGCACCCCTGCCGTGGTGCCCTCAAAGCACCCCTGCCGTGGTGCCCTCAAAGCACCCCTGCCGTGGTGCCCTCAAAGCACCCCCTGCCGTGGTGCCCTCAAAGCACCCCTGCCGTGGTGCCCTCAAAGCACCCCTGCCGTGGTGCCCTCAAAGCACCCCTGCCGTGGTGCCCTCAAAGCACCCCTGCCGTGGTGCCCTCAAAGCACCCCTGCCGTGGTGCCCTCAAAGCACCCCTGCCGTGGTGCCCTCAAAGCAACCCCTGCCGTGGTGCCCTCAAAGCACCCCTGCCGTGGTGCCCTCAAAGCACCCCTGCCGTGGTGCCCTCAAAGCACCCCTGCCGTGGTGCCCTCAAAGCACCCCCTGCCGTGGTGCCCTCAAAGCACCCCTGCCGTGGTGCCCTCAAAGCACCCTGCCGTGGTGCCCTCAAAGCACCCCTGCCGTGGTGCCCTCAAAGCACCCCCTGCCGTGGTGCCCTCAAAGCACCCCCTGCCGTGGTGCCCTCAAAGCACCCCTGCCGTGGTGCCCTCAAAGCACCCCTGCCGTGGTGCCCTCAAAGCACCCCTGCCGTGGTGCCCTCAAAGCACCCCTGCCGTGTGCCCTCAAAGCACCCCTGCCGTGGTGCCCTCAAAGCACCCCTGCCGTGGTGCCCTCAAAGCACCCCTGCCGTGGTGCCCTCAAAGCACCCCTGCCGTGGTGCCCTCAAAGCACCCCTGCCGTGGTGCCCTCAAAGCACCCCTGCCGTGGTGCCCTCAAAGCACCCCTGCCGTGGTGCCCTCAAAGCACCCCTGCCGTGGTGCCCTCAAAGCACCCCTGCCGTGGTGCCCTCAAAGCACCCCTGCCGTGGTGCCCTCAAAGCACCCCTGCCGTGGTGCCCTCAAAGCACCCCTGCCGTGGTGCCCTCAAAGCACCCCTGCCGTGGTGCCCTCAAGCACCCCTGCCGTGGTGCCCTCAAAGCACCCCTGCCGTGGTGCCCTCAAAGCACCCCTGCCGTGGTGCCCTCAAAGCACCCCTGCCGTGGTGCCCTCAAAGCACCCCTGCCGTGGTGCCCTCAAAGCACCCCTGCCGTGGTGCCCTCAAAGCACCCCTGCCGTGGTGCCCTCAAAGCACCCCTGCCGTGGTGCCCTCAAAGCACCCCTGCCGTGGTGCCCTCAAAGCACCCCTGCCGTGGTGCCCTCAAAGCACCCCTGCCGTGGTGCCCTCAAAGCACCCCTGCCGTGGTGCCCTCAAAGCACCCCTGCCGTGGTGCCCTCAAAGCACCCCCCCACAGCCCTCATCTCATGTCACTCGTCCTCACTCCTGTATCCCCTGACCCTTTGAATCCCTCTCCCCTTCCTTCCCCCACGCCCTCTCTCTAGAACATGTAGCTTGGCGCCGTGGGTCGCGTGGGCTCCGGTCCTGCTTGTGGCATCTTGGCGGCAGCAGTACTCGTTACAGGCAGACTCGCTGTTTGCACGGGCACATCCCGCACCATCAACGGCTGGCCCACCCTGTTCGGCGACGCAGTGGCACCTGCGGAGTTCTGCCCTGTCCACTCGTTCGCCCCCGCATGCTCACCGTCCTCCGAATCCCCATCCTCGTTCTCATCCTCGTTATCGTCATCCTCATTATCGTCGTCCCCCGGCGATTCCTCCGACCCGGGCGCGCTTATCCCCGCCTCCTGCTCCGCCGCCATTGCGTCTTCGTCCGCCTTCTGCGCCTCCGCCGCCAGCCGCTCTACGCGCTTATCCGCGGCTTCGCGCTTCTTGGTTACCGCCTTGAGCTGCTCTTTCGCCGCGCTCACCTGCGCCGCGGCTCTTTTCATGCTCTGACTCGCCGCCTTGAACTCCAGCTCTGCTGTTTTCACCTGCGCCTCGGCCTGCACCACCAGCGCCTCCGACGCCTGAATTGACTCGAATTGCGCTTGCTCGTCCGGCGTCGGCGTCGCGCTCGGCGCCGCCGCCGCCGCCCTTGCCGCCGCCAATTTCGCCGCCGCTTTCGATTCCTCCTTCGCCGCTTCGTCGGCTTTCTTCTTCAGTTCTTTCGCCTTCTTCTGCTCCTTAGCATACGACGGCGAGCCGCCATAAGCCTGCGCATATCCCGCCTGCATACCGTAGCTTGACGGCTGTAGCTGATTCAAAATATCTTGCTGGGCGGCATACGCGGCGTCCGCCTGCTCGCGCTTCTGCTTCGCCTCGTTGTATTTCCGCTCCGCCTCCGCTACAGCCGCCTGCGCCTTGGAGTACCCCTCGTACCGTTTCTTCGACGCCGCAGGCGCAGTCTTCCGCGCGGCTATAGCCGCCTTGCGCGCGCTCACCGCGACCGCCCTGGCGCTGTCGAGCGCGGTTCGCGCCTGCGCCCACGATGCCGCCATCGCCTGCGCATCGGTCTTCGCCGCGTCGAGATTCTCCTGCGCGTCGGCCTCCTGCTGCTGCAGCAGCGACGCGATTTGCTCCGCCGCGTCGAGCTGCGCCGCCTTCTGGTCGGCGATCGCGCGAAGCCGCACGGCTTTCTGTAGGGGCGTCTCGGCTTTACGAGCTCTGTAGCGACCGTACGCTTCTGCCGAGTCGATGCTTAGAAGGGTAATTAGAAGGAAGGTGGTGACGAGTCGGACTCGTAAAGTTCCCATGTCGGGCCAGCTGTGGTTTCTAGGAGGGGTGGTTTAAGTACGTACTTGGATAATGCGCTTGGGTCGCTGCGCCGAGTGAAATGCTCTCTCGGAAACAAAAGCAACACGTTGCAATGATGCCTGAACCAAAAGGTAGAAAGGAAATAGGTTGGCGGGGGAAGCACGAGCGGGGGAGGCGGGGTGGGCCAAGAAGTTGGACTTCGAATAGGTCGAATCCGGGGTGAGGAAGGTTGAGCTGGAGACGGGGACTGGAGGGGGACGAGAAAGAACTTCTGTGAATGCGTTTCGCCCAAAATATTAGTGAGAAGCCTCGGCGACTGAACGAAATCTGGTAACATTGAACAGAATTGCTAATGAAACAGTCAGCGAGCTGGGCGAAAACCGTTTTAGTGTGATTGACACCAGGTGGCTTTTCTGGCCCGAATTCCGAGCCCATGGGGCCAAATTGTCCTTTCTGTCAAGCAGCCCCTGGGTACACTATTTGTCGAACCTGCACATTCACATGGCCACGTCAGCTGCAGCTCAATAGAGCGACCCGCAGTGGGTGGAAGAACCGACAAAGATACAGTTTCGCCCAGGTCAGGTATGAGGTCTCTCAGGTGAGTTCCTCGATTGAGAATTTCGACAATTCTGCACTCTGGTTTGGCCGACAGAACTTTCCGTTACACCTACATGCTAAAGAAGGTGTACCGTTACAACCCCGACTATGAGCTGAGCGTGCCTCCCCAATAGCTTAGACCCATGGCAAGCTCGCTCAGTGTTATGAGTGCAATTGAGCGAGCGAGCGAGAATTGCACTATCTAATCAAAACAATACATTCAGCGAAGGCATGAGCGAAGAATATATAGCGAAGCTAGAGTGGTAACGGTAACGCGAGAAATGGGGTGCGCTACGGGCCTAGTGCCGAGGTTGGGAAATGTCGAGGCGGAGGTCCGGAGCGCGGGTTACCAACCGAACCGTGAGGTTGGATCGCATCGTGAACAGTGGCGGGAGTCGGGGTCGAGACGAGTGTCGCTGGCGGGTAACGTTTCACTGTTGGGTGCCGATGGCGGGAATGGTCAATGGTCATGTACGCGGTAGGCAGGGACGCGAAGTAAGGAGAAGGAATTTTCCTTACACTCACTCACTGTTTAATGCCAATTGCCGCCAAGTTTAGGTTCCAGCTTGTGGTGATGGAACCCTGGGCAGTTTGGGTGGGCTGCTGCACCATACAGCTAGACTAGTCCGCTCTCTGAGACCCTCTTCAACCAAATGGTGTTCCAAATGTACGGTAGATGTTGAGTTGACACAAGAAAAAACATTCTCCGAGTAACACAAGGGGAGCACTCTATAAGCACGAGAGAATCACCAACAGCATATGCAATCTAGCATTGCCCGTACAAGGGCGTGATCAGGTCGCACATCCACTATATTATCGGCAGCCTAAATCACTCTGCCACGGTGCAAAATGGAGAACCGCTTTCCACCACGTGAAACCTCCTGAGCCACGAAGCATGAACTGTAATGTATGACCTGACCACGCCCTAAGCACCATTGTGCCCACGGACCATCATCACATCAACCGAACAGCCAGCTCAGTAGGGAGTGGCTCCCCGCGGCCTGCGGCTGCTGAGTCGCCTGGACGGCCGCGCTAAGGGAGGGCGTTACACCCGCTGCCGCCTGCCCAGGTTGCACGGATTGCAGCCCAAGAGAGTCCTTTCCGTACCTCCCACCCTTCCCATACCCGTTCCCGTGCCCGTTCTGCCCTTGGCCCTTATCCCCGCGCCCGTCGTTGCCCCATCCGTTCCCGCCGTTATCCCCCGGTCCGCCATGTCCGTGCCCGTGGTCCCCCTCGTGCTCGTCCTCGTCACCATCATCATCCCCCCCGTGGGGACCGCCGCCACCGCCGCAACCGTCGCCGTCGCCACCGTCGCCAGGGGGAGAAGGGTCCGAACCGGGCGCGGGGTCCGAACCAGGCGCGGGGTCTGATCCCTGCGCGGGCGTCTGCGAAGCCTCCCACTCTTGCTCCGCCGCCAACGCCAGTTCCTCCGCTGCCTGTGCCTCCGCGGAAGCCTTCTCCGCCACCTTTTCCGCGGTTACGCGGAGAGATTGCGCCTTGGCGCGCTTGTTCTTTGCGCGGGTGACCTTCTCCGCGGCCGTCTTCACGCCCTGCTCCGCCGCTTTTGTCTCCGCATCCGCCGCCCTCGCGTCGGCTTCCGCCTGCGACGCCGCAGCGTCCGCCGCGTTTGCCGCGTCGAGCGTCGCCTTCTCCTTCGGAGTCAGCGTGGCGCTGGCAAGGGTGCTTTGCGCCTTAGTCAGCGCAGCAGACGCCTTGCTCTCCTCCTTCGACGCGGATTGAACGTTCTTTTGAAGTTCCGCAGCTTTCTTCTGCTCTTTCGCCGCCCTCTGCGCCGCGGGGCTCCGCGCGCTCAAGCCCGTGGCGGAGGCGGAAGCGCTGGTCGCGACGTTCTGCTGCGCGGCGGCGGCGGCCTCCGCGTTCTGTCGCTTCGTCGTCGCGTCCGCGAGGTTTTTCTCCGCAGTCTTGACATTGTTTTGCGCGGAATTATATGAATCAATCCTCTTCTTCATCGGGGCGAGGCTCGCCTTTGCGGCATTCGCGCTCTTTCTTGAATTAGCGGCGGAGATTTTCTTCGCGTCCGATGTCTTCTTCGCCGTGCTCCACGCCACGGCCGCGTCTTGCGCCGCCAATTGCGCTGCATCGACCTCCGCGGCCGCCGCCTGCTCCGCCTCAAGCCGCGCGGCCACGGCGGACTGCGCGGCGTCCAAAGCGGACGCTGCCTTGTCCGCTGCTGCGCGCAACCGCGCGGCTTTCTCCGCCAGGGTCTCCTTCGGCGCGGGTTGGACTCTAGCGTGCGCTGTTAATTGACTCGAGAGCGCGAGGAGGAGCAAGGCCAGAGGGAGGAATCTAGTTCCGCCGGTCGTCGTCATTCTGAACTGCGACGGTTTGAGGCCAAGCAGCGCTAAATGATTTGCTGCGTTCAGTGCGCGTTAGCGTCGGGGGTTTGCGAGGGGGGACGTTGGGAACGGAATCTGTCAATACTGAGGCGTGAATGGAGGAGCTGGTCTGAAAAAAAAAGGGAGATGCTTTATGCTTCGGTTTCTGGAACAGATAGAGCTAGGGGGAGGGATGGCGGGGGACGAGGCGGAGCAGCTAGAGGCATAGGAGGGGCATGGAGGGAGAGTTGGTTGGGTTGGGCAAGGAGGGGGATTTGGGTAGGGATTTTTCAACAGGCCAGCCGCCAGCGAAATGCTAGTTTGCGAAATTGCGATCCGTCTGGGGACACTTGTCACATTGCGGCGGGTTCTGATGGGGAACAGTTCCCTAGCCTACATGATGCTGTTCTGTAGTGCTGTATACTTTATGGTCTAATCCTGGGCGTTGATTTGCCGCGGGACTTTCGCCAAGGGTCTGCCACTTCACCAGATTGGGAGACTGGCAGCACCATTTCTGCCCAGCTTTGTCGTCTTCTCACGGCATTTGTTGGTGCAAAAGTCTGGAGGAATCTGGGACCAACTGTTCCGGATCTGCTCAATTCTGGGCACAATTGACATAGCTTATCCGCCACGATTCGATCATGTGACAGCTACGCCACCGCCACCAACCACGGCACGGAAGCATGTGTGTGATGTTGTCGTGCCAGACACATTCTGTCCAGCTTGGCAGTCTGAGAATTTCAAGCCACCGCCATGTTCTCCGACGAGTGGATGGTGTGGCCACAACTGCTGAAGCTGTGCTAGCCGGAACGCGGTCAAATGAGAGCGGGTCTTTAAAGCGAAGGGTTCTGTTTGGTGCGTAATGGTCGAAAGCGGTAGAGAAGGAAAACTCTTTGATAGCGCTGTCCTATCCCACCGTGAAAATGATCGACCCGCGCTGGGTGTTTACTCCATCCTCGATTGTAGAGTCTACGAGTGGGGCGGCTATAACAGCCGATCTCTGTTCCATATACCGTACGTTTCCATCATGAAACTTCAGAATAAGGTTGTGGTTATGTCTAATTCATTACGTTGCGGTCTAATTCAGTACGTTCCCTGTGTGTTTTCTGCGGTCGAATTCGATACATCGCAGTATAAAACGGTATGCCTCAGCAAATCATTTTCCGTTGTGTGAGACCGTCTTGAGCCACTAAGCATGAACTGTAGATGTACATGGACACACTCACCCTAAACATGGTGGTCCGTGTCCAGAAAGGGCTCCTATTGTTCTGGCACGTAGTGCACAGCACACGTTGATACCTATCTATGTAACACCACAATCTCCATGGAATGACAAATCAAACTCACATAACCACATACAGAGCCCACATATCAACTCCACATTCTCCATAACCTCTCACCATTTTTTGCCAAACCCTAACCATCCACCCCTCCCTTCCTCCACATACTGTTCATACCCCTCGCCCTCCTCGTCCTCCCCATCCGCATGTGGTGCTAAGAGCTGCACCTCTAGGCTGGCAAGTAGAATAAGAATGGCGCCCGCAGCAGTGGACGTGCTAAGTGTTTCTCCTAGCAGAAAGAAGGCCAGGAGGCTGCCCCAGAGGGGGCTCATGGTGAGAATGAGCGTGGCTGTGGATGCTCGCACGAACCGCAGTGCTTCTAATTCAAGCCACTCACACATCCCTGCAGGTGGTGGTGACAGAGGGTGGGCCAGACAGGGACGAGGAGCAGGAGAAATGAAGGCAGGGAAAGAGAAGGGCAGGAAGGGCAGGGGAGGGTTGGGGATGGGGAGGGGGGTGGAAGGGCATGGAGAATGACACGTGCTGCTCCTGTAGAGGGGCTGGACTGGATGGCATATGCATGGTGTGCACAAATGCACAGTCAAAGAGCTTAAAATGCCGAACATTCCACCAGCTCGTCCCAGTAGCACACGCAAGAACCAACCCGCCAGCCACACCCATCCCCTCTCTTACCTGTTCCGAACGGCCCAGCCAGCAGCGCCATGCCGATGGGAGCAGCAGCAGCCACGGCCAGCAGCTGGCTCCATGCTACTGCTGCCCCACTGCCGTCCGCCCCCGCCACTGCACTCCCCCCTGCTGTGAGCGTGATGCCTGCCAGCGTGAGCAGCACCCACACCACGCCGATAGCTGCCGTGGTGCCCAGCTGCAGGATTACAAGGATGAGCGGGTCGTAGCGCGCGCATAGAACCTCCGAGCGGACCTAATGGGAAGGGGAGGGAAGCAAGGGAGTGAGGGAGAGTAAGTGAGCACAGGATGCATGTCAGATTCAGGATGACAAGGACGGCACACTCACCACGTGGATGGCACACTCACCACGTGGATGGCACACTCACCACGTGGATGGCACACTCACCACGTGGATGGCACACTCACCACGTGGATGGCACACTCACCACGTGGATGGCACACTCACCACGTGGATGGCACACTCACCACGTGGATGGCAAACTCACCACATGGATGGCACACTCACCACGTGGATGGCACACTCACCACGTGCATGGCACACTCACCACGTGGATGGCACACTCACCACGTGCATGGCACACTCACCACGTGGATGGCACACTCACCACGTGGATGGCACACTCACCACGTGGATGGCAGAACCCACAGCGCCAATGAGGCACCACACGTGGCCCACAGGCAGGCTCCAATGCACCGGCACCGACGCCAGCGCTGCTGCTGCCGTGTCAGCGATGACATTGGCGGAAGCTGATGCTGAGCTGGCGATGACGTCAGCAGGCGTGGCTGCTACTGCAACAGCAGTGATGGTCTCCCCGCCTTCCAGCATCACCATGCCTGTGAGTATGGATGTGGGAGCGAGTGAGGGTGTGGGCATGGGCGTGGTCGAGGGTGTGGTGGTGAGAGGGTGTGGGCGCGGGTGGGGGCGTGGGCGTGGGTGCATGTAGGCGGTCATTGGGAGGAAAGGTGCGGGTGTGGAATGGGATAAGGGGGCGGGGGGGTTAAGGATAAGGAACAGAGCACACACCCCAGCAGTACAACACAAGCGTGAGTGAGTGAGAAGACACAGGAAAGGCGCTGGAGGCAGGAAAGGAGGAGACGGCAGAAGCTTCACGAGAGTGAAAAGAGGGGAGAGTGTACCGGTGCATGCGAGGAGTGTGGCGATCCACACGCTGCGGTTGATGGGCGTGCCTGAGAGGGCCTCCAGGAATGGAACCAGCACCACCTGCAGTGCATCGCAGCAGTGAATGGCGATCACAGGATGCCACTGGTTATGCACGAGTTCTTACAGATCCATGCTGTAGACTCTGCTACGAGCGAATGTGGGATGTGGCAGGACTGGAACAATGGGTCGGAATCCAGAGGAGCTGAAGCATGCTGGGTCATGTTGGTGAGAGTTCATTGGGAAAAAGGAAGAAGTGGGTGTGTGTGTGTGTGTGTGTGTGTGTGTGTGTGTGTGTGTGTGTGTGTGTGTGTGAGGCCATCCGGGAAGGGAGGCGAAGTGGGCGGCATCAAAAAGGGATATCGGCGAAGCAATTGGGGAACATCGAAGGACAAGTGGGAGGAAAATCCAGCGTACTTGCTGGGGAGGGACGTGTGGGCACGGAAGCTAGGTAAGAAGGGATTCTCATACCGAGACGGTGAGGATGAGAGCAGCGTCGTCCGCGGAGGTGGTTTCGAGCCCAATGGCCTGCCCAGCATACGTCACGAACATCCACACGCCCAGCTCCACGCCCCCCACCACCATCGCCGCCCGCTCCCGTTGCTCCTTCTTGCTCCCCCCTACCATCGACTCCCACACCCCCGCCGCTAGCCCCTCCTTTCCCCCGTCCTTCTTCCCGTTCTTCTTCCCCTTCTTCTTCCCTTTCTGTTCCTCCGACTCTGTTTTTCCCCGGCCGTTGCTGCTGCCCCTGCTGTCACTCTCCCCGCCGTCAGTTGCGGCCTCCCCCAGTAAAGCCGTCATGGGGTTGCTCAATCCCGTGTTACCCCACAGGTCCCACGCCGCATCCCACGAATTTCGGAAGTTTCCGAGCACCTTCTCGCCCCAGGTTGCCTCCTTTTGGTGTGTCCTCTCGTGGTGCATCCTCGCCACGTGTCTCGCCAGCGCAAACCCGCCCAGCCCAATCGTCGCAAACAGAAACCGAATCGCAAACTCCACACTCGTATCGAGACTCCCAAAAAGAGGATAACCAGCGGCACCTGAACCAAACATACCCTCGAACATACCCTCCCCCAGCAGTCCGCTGAAAAACCCTCCCCCAATCACATCACTCACTACCTCTCCCACAGGCGTCGAGATCGCCTCCCCCACCGCCACCCCCGCCGCAGTCACCGCTGCCGCGCCGGCAAGCGCTCCCCCGACCTCTCCCCCCGCGCCGGCCCCCCCGTGGAGCTCCTGCATGAGCTTAACGGTCACCGCGGTGGCGGCGTATCCGAAGGCGAGGACGTTAAGAAGCAGCACCGCTTGGTCCTTAGAGAGATTGATGCTGTACGGCGGCGGTTGCGGCGGCTCGAACGCGTCCTTGGACAGGAAGGTTCGGCGAACCCAGAAGGCGAAGTCTGTGAGCGGTCCGGGAGGGAGTCCGGCAATGGTTTGCGGGAGTTTGATGTCTGCTTGTCGCTGGTGGTGTTTGTGCCGCTTGTGGTGGTGTCCGTGGGGGTGGTGATGGTGATGCCAGTGATGATGGTCCACTCTCTCTGCCTCGTGCTGATGCCGTTTATGATGCTTGTGCTCATGGTAATGCTCGTGGTGATGCTCGTGATGATGATCCTTCTGATGGTCTTGGTGTTGATGATGCTTGTGGGGCTTATGATGATGCGGATGGGACGCGTCGTGGCTGTGATGGCTGCTGTGCTTATGATTTTGCTCGTGGTGGTGCTTGTGATGATGTTGGTGCTGATGGTGAATTCCGGATTTCTCCTCCTCATGGTGCCGATGGTGCTTCCTGTGGTGATGCTCATCATGCTCATGGCTACGATGCCCATGGCCGTGGCTCTGATCCTCAGAATGTCCGTGTCGGTTTCTGTGATGCGAATGCCTTGACGAATGCTCGCCGTCGGATTCTTCATCGCTTGAGGATCTGTGGTGGAGATGGTGGGAATGATTGGCGTGCTGCGAGTGGTGACCCTGGTACCCGTGTTTGCTATCTGCGTGCTCCTTGTGCTGCTTCTTCCGTTTCTCCCACCATTTATCCGCGCTGCTTAGCACTCGAGACACCCCGCTAGACCAGCCCTTTCCGCCAGACTCGTTATTAGAAGCCCTCACGCCAATCCGACGCAAACCTGTAGCGTTTCGACGTTGGGATTCGCGAATTTCGGAAAATCGGCAAGCCCGTTCTTGTAAGAGCAAGCCGCAAGCGTCCTTCTTGCTGATGATTGTTGAATTGGGAATGTGCATGACCATAGCGGAATTCGAGTGAACTGCCACTCCCAATCCCTTGGTGTAATCGGTAAGCGGTGCGATAGACCCACGGGATAGACACTCTACGACACGGAGGGCCATGGAAAACCCGTGCCCGAAAAATAGAACGTGAGCAGCAGGTTAGGAACCTACCCGACCTCCTTCTCAAGTGAGAGAAGGGGCTTGCAGTGGACTCTAACCCTTAACCTAACCTGGAGCTTGCACAGCAGATGAGATGAATATGAAACTGGAGCTCCAAATAAATAGGAGATGAATTTGAAACTGGAGCTCAGTTCACAGGCTATCCATACATGGGAGACCTGCTTACAAGAAACAAGTGAAGCTGCATCAGTCAAGAGGAGGAGCTGGAGGAGAGGAGACTGGAAGAGGCAAGCAAGGAAACTGTTGCTGGGCGGAAAAAAGGCAAATTCTGTCAAGTGTGCGCCGCTGACACGCGAAACCCGAAAGTGGGCTTGGGATATTCTCGCGCCAAGGAGCAGACCAACCAGGAATCAGAGAATATCGAGATTGTTGATCAGGAAAGGCTAGTGATTGGACAAAGAGGTGCTAGCAACGGCTTGCGCGGTGTTTTCTGAGAAGTGATTGGGCGCGCGTAGCTGGAATCTCGGAGCCTTGACACGACCATATCGAGGTTGGTTGGTGAAAGGGGACACTCTCCAGCCCGGCGAGTTGGACGAGCGGCCAATAAACGATGTCGATGCTGCGTTGGCGAATTGTCAGCACCGTCAAGAGGTTTTAGGGCCAAGAAAAAAGTTCTGACAGGCAAGCTCGGCTGGTGGATGACTCAGTCCCACATCAGCTAAAGGACACTTCCGGCGGTTCGGCTGGCGCAGCAGTGAACATGTGATTAGACGCATTTTTACTAAGATCAACGAGCTATCTCGTAAGTATTGATAAGCCTAAATTCGTAATACCAGTAAAAGATGGGAATCACAAGATAATTCACAGCCCATTCCTTCATAAATTCACTCCCAAACTATGCCATCAGGCTAAATTTCTTTCACGGACTGAGAGAAGGTGCGCGTCGCCCCCTCCCTTCCCCCTCAATCTCCCTCTCCATCGACCGATCCCTCCAGCTCCTTTTGCCCTCCCGCCTTCTCCCGTCTCTGCTCCTCTCCCCTCCATACGCCCCACTCTCCCCTCCACCCCCAATCGACCCCTCCCTCTGTCTCTCCCTCCCACCGAAATGATGATGCATCCTCCTATGATGCTCCTCCCCATACGAGCCCCTCTCCTCATCCTCTTCCTCATGCCCCCGGTGCTGCCTTCCCGAAAGCTGCCGACTAAACTCCCGCCTAAACCCATGCCTCTCCCGACCCTCCCGCACAAACCCCTGCCCGTCCCGATCCTCAGCCTCGGAACCTTCCTGCGACCCTTGCATGCCCTGCCCCTGCGGCTGCCCCTGCCGCCTGTCCCGGTCCCTCTCTCGCTCCCTCTCTCGCTTCAGCGACCCCCCCCTCTGCATGCCCTGTCCCGGCTGCTGCTGCTGCTGCTGGGAGTGGGGTGGGGGGAAGTGCTGCTGGGATCGCTCGGCCTCCAATACGCCTGCCTTGAAGCGTGAGAGCTCCTGCACCTCTGCGTCCCTCAGCTGCAGCTGCCTCTGCAGCTTGTACACCGTCTCCTCGAGCTTCTCTGCCTCCTCGTTGATCTCATCCACATACTCCTGTAGCTCTGCCAGGGGGCGGAGCAGTAGGAGAGAAAAGGAGAGGGGAAGTGGGGGCAGAGGGCAGGTCAGAATGTGCCTCTAAGGCGCCTCGGAAAGAGGCTTCTCTGCCTCCTCGTTGATCTCATCAACATACTCCTGTAGCTCTGCCAGGGCGCAGGGCAGTTGGAGAGAACAAGGAGAGGGGCAGTGGGGGCTGGTCAGAGTGTGTCTTTAAGGCTTCTCTGCCTCCTCGTTGATCTCATCAACATACTCCTGTAGCTCTGCCCATGACACATGGGACGCACGGCAATGGGAGGGAAGCGGGCACGGAAACACACTTTTGCAGAAACAAGCTTCTCTGCCTCCTCGTTGATCTCATCCACATACTCCTGTAGCTCTGTCATGGAGCGAGTGGGGCAGTGGGGCGGTGGGGGGACAGAGGGCAGAGAGCAGGTCAAAGTGTGTCTTTGAGGCACTCAGATACAAGCTTCTCCGCCTCCTCGTTGATCTCATCCACATACTCCTGCAGTTCTGCCAGGGCGACGAGCAGTAGGAGGGAAAACGGAGTGGGACAGTCGGGGGAAAAATGGGCAGGTCAAAGTGCATCTTTGGGGCCTCGAGAAGAGGCTTATCTGCCTCCTCGTTAATCTCATCACATACTCCTGTAACTCTGTCTGCCCATGGCTCATGGGACGCACGGCAATGAGGGGAAAAAAATAGATGAAATTCACGCAGCCCTCATACGACTGGATAATGAAGAATGGCAAGGAGAGAAGTAAAAACATAGCACTTACGTTTAGACTAATAATAAACATAGCACTCATACGACATTGATTACACTACTGCAGGGTGTGATGTGCCTCAGTGCACTACCTTGGTAGCCGCGCTTGAGCTCGGAGTTGAGCTGCTTCTGCAGGGCGAGTTTGTTCTCCAGCTCATGCACCTGATGGGCACGAGGGGAGAAAACATGGATCACAACAGAACAAAAGGGAAGGGGGCGAGAACACAGCAGAAAGAATGAACAAAATCGATAGATTAGCAGATGCATGTCCACAGTAGTGAGCCTCTGCAGGGCAAGCTTGTTCTCCCCCGCTCATGCACCTGATGGGCAGGATGGATCAATGCCGAAGCGGGCCGACAGATGGCATAAGGGAAACTAAACGCACAAGATGCTCATCACCAAGTGCTGTTCCCTAGGCCCCACCTGTCCCAGACCCTCACCTGCCTCAGACACCACCTGCCCCAGGTGCACATTCCCTTCAGCAGCCTCCCTGTGCTCATGCAGGATGCGGCACTTGGCCATGAGCATCTTGCATGACCATCCATCTTGCTGCTATCTCATCTCATATACAGCACCCCAGATACCACCTCCCCCAGTCGCACCTTGCCCTCAGCAGCCTCCCTGCCAATGTCCTCATTCTCCTCCTGCAGGGTGCGGCACTTGGCCATGAGCATCTTGCCGTTCTTGCTGTGCGGTGTGAACTGCACCGCCGCTAGGTCGTCCTGCAACTCCCGCACTCGCCGCTCCAGGGCCTCGCTCTCGGTCTGATCATGGGTGGGTATGGATGGGAATGGGTACGAAGGGTGGAGGGAGAGGAAGGAAGGTGAACTGCACCGCCACTAGGTCGTCCTGTAGCTCCCGCACTCGCCGTTCTAGAGCCTCACTTTCGGTCTAGAGTGGTGGGTATGGTTGGGGAGGGGCAGAGGCACGGAATCACACAGGTGAACTGCACCGCTGCTAGGTCGTCCTGCAGCTCCCTCACTCGCCGCTCCCGAGCCTCACTCTCGGTCTGAATGGGTTTGAATGGATGTGCATGGGTGGGTATGGGTGGGGAGGAAGGAAGCTAAACTGTACCGCTGCTAGGTCGTCCTGCAGTCCCCTCACTCTCCGTTCCAGAGCCTCACTCTTGCTCTGATTATGGGTGGGAATGGGTACGAAGGGTGGAGGGAGAGGTAGGAAGGTGAACTGCACCGCTGCTAGGTCGTCCTGCAGCTCTCGCACTCGCCACTCTAGAGCCTCACTCTCTGTCCGAAGGGGTTTAAATGGGTGCACATGAGCGAATATGGATTGGTATGGGTGGAAATGGGTGGGTATGGGTAAGGAGGCCGGAAAGTGAACTGCATGACTGCCAGGTCGTCTTGCCACTTCAGGGTCTTGCTCTCAGCCTGAAGGGGTGAGAATGCGTGGGTAAGTATGGGTGACTATGGGTAGGTATGTTTGAGTATCAGTGGGGACGGGCAGAGGGAGAGGCATGGACCGTGGCAAGCCAGTAGGCACACACAAATATGCATGGGCATTTGAGTGGGTGTGCGCCTCACCTTGAGTCGTTTGAACTCGGCGTGTATGGCCGCATCTAGCAGCAGTGAGCGAGTCTGGTGCACAACAGTCAATTAGGGAGAGACATGGGGAGGTTGGGGAGAGACACGGGGAGGTTGCGGAAGAGACATGGGGAGGTTGCGGAAGAGACACGGGCAGAGGCGCGAGTGGAAGGGTAAGAGGGTTGAATTGAAAGCTAGCATGGAAAGCGGTTGAAAAGGTTGGCACAAGGACCAAAAGAGGAAAAAAGGTTGGCCTAGCAGTGCACATCACGACTGAGTCTACGTTCTCACCCTCCCCCCACTGCTGCAGTTGTCCCTCAACCACCCTTCTAGATGGGCAGACAGACGTTCTCCCCCACCTGCGTGCTGGCGGGCTGCATGCTCTGCTCTCCAACACCTGCTGCACCTGCTGCAATTGCTGCACCTGCTGCACCTGCTGCACCTGCTGCAGATGCTCCTTACCTATTTCACCAATCTAGTGGTTGTCTCCCACCCACCTGCGTGCTGGCGGGCTGCATGCTCTCTAACACCTGCTGCAGCTGCTCCTGCAATGCAAACATGCGGGAGGGAATGCAACGAATTGAAGGAGCGACTTTTGAGGATTCTCAAAAGTGAATCCTGCAATGCACACGTGCGGGAGGGAGTGCAAGGCATTGGAGGAGTGCAAGGCATTGGAGGAGTGCAAGGCATTGGAGGAGTGCAAGGCATTGGAGGAGTGCAAGGCATTGGAGGAGTGCAAGGCATTGGAGGAGTGCAAGGCATTGGAGGAGTGCAAGGCATTGGAGGAGTGCAAGGCATTGGAGGAGTGCAAGGCATTGGAGGAGTGCAAGGCATTGGAGGAGTGCAAGGCATTGGAGGAGTGCAAGGCATTGGAGGAGTGCAAGGCATTGGAGGAGTGCAAGGCATTGGAGGAGTGCAAGGCATTGGAGGAGTGCAAGGCATTGGAGGAGTGCAAGGCATTGGAGGAGTGCAAGGCGTTGGAGGAGTGCAAGGCGTTGGAGGAGTGCAAGGCGTTGGAGGAGTGCAAGGCGTTGGAGGAGTGCAAGGCATTGGAGGAGTGCAAGGCATTGGAGGAGTGCAAGGCATTGGAGGAGTGCAAGGCATTGGAGGAGTGCAAGGCATTGGAGGAGTGCAAGGCATTGGAGGAGTGCAAGGCATTGGAGGAGAGCAAGGCATTGGAGGAGTGCAAGGCATTGGAGGAGTGCAAGGCATTGGAGGAGTGCAAGGCATTGGAGGAGTGCAAGGCATTGGAGGAGTGCAAGGCATTGGAGGAGTGCAAGGCATTGGAGGAGTGCAAGGCATTGGAGGAGTGCAAGGCATTGGAGGAGTGCAAGGCATTGGAGGAGTGCAAGGCATTGGAGGAGTGCAAGGCATTGGAGGAGTGCAAGGCGTTGGAGGAGTGCAAGGCATTGGAGGAGTGCAAGGCATTGGAGGAGTGCAAGGCATTGGAGGAGTGCAAGGCATTGGAGGAGTGCAAGGCGTTGGAGGAGTGCAAGGCGTTGGAGGAGTGCAAGGCGTTGGAGGAGTGCAAGGCATTGGAGGAGTGCAAGGCATTGGAGGAGTGCAAGGCATTGGAGGAGTGCAAGGCATTGGAGGAGTGCAAGGCATTGGAGGAGTGCAAGGCATTGGAGGAGTGCAAGGCATTGGAGGAGTGCAAGGCATTGGAGGAGTGCAAGGCATTGGAGGAGTGCAAGGCATTGGAGGAGTGCAAGGCATTGGAGGAGTGCAAGGCATTGGAGGAGTGCAAGGCATTGGAGGAGTGCAAGGCATTGGAGGAGTGCAAGGCATTGGAGGAGTGCAAGGCATTGGAGGAGTGCAAGGCATTGGAGGAGTGCAAGGCATTGGAGGAGTGCAAGGCGTTGGAGGAGTGCAAGGCGTTGGAGGAGTGCAAGGCATTGGAGGAGTGCAAGGCATTGGAGGAGTGCAAGGCATTGGAGGAGTGCAAGGCATTGGAGGAGTGCAAGGCATTGGAGGAGTGCAAGGCATTGGAGGAGTGCAAGGCATTGGAGGAGTGCAAGGCATTGGAGGAGTGCAAGGCATTGGAGGAGTGCAAGGCATTGGAGGAGTGCAAGGCATTGGAGGAGTGCAAGGCATTGGAGGAGTGCAAGGCATTGGAGGAGTGCAAGGCATTGGAGGAGTGCAAGGCGTTGGAGGAGTGCAAGGCATTGGAGGAGTGCAAGGCATTGGAGGAGTGCAAGGCATTGGAGGAGTGCAAGGCATTGGAGGAGTGCAAGGCATTGGAGGAGTGCAAGGCATTGGAGGAGTGCAAGGCATTGGAGGAGTGCAAGGCATTGGAGGAGTGCAAGGCATTGGAGGAGTGCAAGGCATTGGAGGAGTGCAAGGCAGTTGGAGGAGTGCAAGGCGTTGGAGGAGTGCAAGGCGTTGGAGGAGTGCAAGGCGTTGGAGGAGTGCAAGGCATTGGAGGAGTGCAAGGCATTGGAGGAGTGCAAGGCATTGGAGGAGTGCAAGGCATTGGAGGAGTGCAAGGCATTGGAGGAGTGCAAGGCGTTGGAGGAGTGCAAGGCGTTGGAGGAGTGCAAGGCGTTGGAGGAGTGCAAGGCGTTGGAGGAGTGCAAGGCATTGGAGGAGTGCAAGGCATTGGAGGAGTGCAAGGCATTGGAGGAGTGCAAGGCATTGGAGGAGTGCAAGGCATTGGAGGAGTGCAAGGCATTGGAGGAGTGCAAGGCATTGGAGGAGTGCAAGGCATTGGAGGAGTGCAAGGCATTGGAGGAGTGCAAGGCATTGGAGGAGTGCAAGGCATTGGAGGAGTGCAAGGCATTGGAGGAGTGCAAGGCATTGGAGGAGTGCAAGGCATTGGAGGAGTGCAAGGCAGTTGGAGGAGTGCAAGGCGTTGGAGGAGTGCAAGGCGTTGGAGGAGTGCAAGGCATTGGAGTGCAAGGCATTGGAGGAGTGCAAGGCATTGGAGGAGTGCAAGGCATTGGAGGAGTGCAAGGCATTGGAGGAGTGCAAGGCATTGGAGGAGTGCAAGGCATTGGAGGAGTGCAAGGCATTGGAGGAGTGCAAGGCATTGGAGGAGTGCAAGGCATTGGAGGAGTGCAAGGCATTGGAGGAGTGCAAGGCATTGGAGGAGTGCAAGGCATTGGAGGAGTGCAAGGCATTGGAGGAGTGCAAGGCGTTGGAGGAGTGCAAGGCGTTGGAGGAGTGCAAGGCGTTGGAGGAGTGCAAGGCATTGGAGGAGTGCAAGGCATTGGAGGAGTGCAAGGCATTGGAGGAGTGCAAGGCATTGGAGGAGTGCAAGGCATTGGAGGAGTGCAAGGCATTGGAGGAGTGCAAGGCATTGGAGGAGTGCAAGGCATTGGAGGAGTGCAAGGCATTGGAGGAGTGCAAGGCATTGGAGGAGTGCAAGGCATTGGAGGAGTGCAAGGCATTGGAGGAGTGCAAGGCATTGGAGGAGTGCAAGGCATTGGAGGAGTGCAAGGCATTGGAGGAGTGCAAGGCATTGGAGGAGTGCAAGGCATTGGAGGAGTGCAAGGCATTGGAGGAGTGCAAGGCGTTGGAGGAGTGCAAGGCGTTGGAGGAGTGCAAGGCGTTGGAGGAGTGCAAGGCATTGGAGGAGTGCAAGGCATTGGAGGAGTGCAAGGCATTGGAGGAGTGCAAGGCATTGGAGGAGTGCAAGGCATTGGAGGAGTGCAAGGCATTGGAGGAGTGCAAGGCATTGGAGGAGTGCAAGGCATTGGAGGAGTGCAAGGCATTGGAGGAGTGCAAGGCATTGGAGGAGTGCAAGGCATTGGAGGAGTGCAAGGCATTGGAGGAGTGCAAGGCATTGGAGGAGTGCAAGGCATTGGAGGAGTGCAAGGCATTGGAGGAGTGCAAGGCAGTTGGAGGAGTGCAAGGCATTGGAGGAGTGCAAGGCATTGGAGGAGTGCAAGGCATTGGAGGAGTGCAAGGCATTGGAGGAGTGCAAGGCATTGGAGGAGTGCAAGGCATTGGAGGAGTGCAAGGCATTGGAGGAGTGCAAGGCATTGGAGGAGTGCAAGGCATTGGAGGAGTGCAAGGCATTGGAGGAGTGCAAGGCATTGGAGGAGTGCAAGGCGTTGGAGGAGTGCAAGGCGTTGGAGGAGTGCAAGGCATTGGAGGAGTGCAAGGCATTGGAGGAGTGCAAGGCATTGGAGGAGTGCAAGCATTGGAGGAGTGCAAGGCATTGGAGGAGTGCAAGGCATTGGAGGAGTGCAAGGCGTTGGAGGAGTGCAAGGCGTTGGAGGAGTGCAAGGCAGTGGAGGAGTGCAAGGCATTGGAGGAGTGCAAGGCATTGGAGGAGTGCAAGGCATTGGAGGAGTGCAAGGCATTGGAGGAGTGCAAGGCATTGGAGGAGTGCAAGGCATTGGAGGAGTGCAAGGCATTGGAGGAGTGCAAGGCATTGGAGGAGTGCAAGGCATTGGAGGAGTGCAAGGCATTGGAGGAGTGCAAGGCATTGGAGGAGTGCAAGGCATTGGAGGAGTGCAAGGCATTGGAGGAGTGCAAGGCATTGGAGGAGTGCAAGGCATTGGAGGAGTGCAAGGCATTGGAGGAGTGCAAGGCATTGGAGGAGTGCAAGGCATTGGAGGAGTGCAAGGCATTGGAGGAGTGCAAGGCATTGGAGGAGTGCAAGGCATTGGAGGAGTGCAAGGCATTGGAGGAGTGCAAGGCATTGGAGGAGTGCAAGGCATTGGAGGAGTGCAAGGCATTGGAGGAGTGCAAGGCATTGGAGGAGTGCAAGGCATTGGAGGAGTGCAAGGCATTGGAGGAGTGCAAGGCATTGGAGGAGTGCAAGGCATTGGAGGAGTGCAAGGCATTGGAGGAGTGCAAGGCATTGGAGGAGTGCAAGGCATTGGAGGAGTGCAAGGCGTTGGAGGAGTGCAAGGCGTTGGAGGAGTGCAAGGCGTTGGAGGAGTGCAAGGCATTGGAGGAGTGCAAGGCATTGGAGGAGTGCAAGGCATTGGAGGAGTGCAAGGCATTGGAGGAGTGCAAGGCATTGGAGGAGTGCAAGGCATTGGAGGAGTGCAAGGCATTGGAGGAGTGCAAGGCGTTGGAGGAGTGCAAGGCGTTGGAGGAGTGCAAGGCGTTGGAGGAGTGCAAGGCATTGGAGGAGTGCAAGGCATTGGAGGAGTGCAAGGCATTGGAGGAGTGCAAGGCATTGGAGGAGTGCAAGGCATTGGAGGAGTGCAAGGCATTGGAGGAGTGCAAGGCATTGGAGGAGTGCAAGGCATTGGAGGAGTGCAAGGCATTGGAGGAGTGCAAGGCATTGGAGGAGTGCAAGGCATTGGAGGAGTGCAAGGCAGTTGGAGGAGTGCAAGGCATTGGAGGAGTGCAAGGCATTGGAGGAGTGCAAGGCATTGGAGGAGTGCAAGGCATTGGAGGAGTGCAAGGCATTGGAGGAGTGCAAGGCATTGGAGGAGTGCAAGGCATTGGAGGAGTGCAAGGCATTGGAGGAGTGCAAGGCATTGGAGGAGTGCAAGGCATTGGAGGAGTGCAAGGCATTGGAGGAGTGCAAGGCATTGGAGGAGTGCAAGGCATTGGAGGAGTGCAAGGCATTGGAGGAGTGCAAGGCATTGGAGGAGTGCAAGGCATTGGAGGAGTGCAAGGCATTGGAGGAGTGCAAGGCATTGGAGGAGTGCAAGGCATTGGAGGAGTGCAAGGCATTGGAGGAGTGCAAGGCATTGGAGGAGTGCAAGGCATTGGAGGAGTGCAAGGCGTTGGAGGAGTGCAAGGCGTTGGAGGAGTGCAAGGCGTTGGAGGAGTGCAAGCATTGGAGGAGTGCAAGGCATTGGAGGAGTGCAAGGCATTGGAGGAGTGCAAGGCATTGGAGGAGTGCAAGGCATTGGAGGAGTGCAAGGCATTGGAGGAGTGCAAGGCATTGGAGGAGTGCAAGGCATTGGAGGAGTGCAAGGCATTGGAGGAGTGCAAGGCATTGGAGGAGTGCAAGGCATTGGAGGAGTGCAAGGCATTGGAGGAGTGCAAGGCATTGGAGGAGTGCAAGGCATTGGAGGAGTGCAAGGCATTGGAGGAGTGCAAGGCATTGAGGAGTGCAAGGCATTGGAGGAGTGCAAGGCATTGGAGGAGTGCAAGGCGTTGGAGGAGTGCAAGGCGTTGGAGGAGTGCAAGGCGTTGGAGGAGTGCAAGGCATTGGAGGAGTGCAAGGCATTGGAGGAGTGCAAGGCATTGGAGGAGTGCAAGGCATTGGAGGAGTGCAAGGCATTGGAGGAGTGCAAGGCATTGGAGGAGTGCAAGGCATTGGAGGAGTGCAAGGCATTGGAGGAGTGCAAGGCATTGGAGGAGTGCAAGGCATTGGAGGAGTGCAAGGCATTGGAGGAGTGCAAGGCATTGGAGGAGTGCAAGGCATTGGAGGAGTGCAAGGCATTGGAGGAGTGCAAGGCATTGGAGGAGTGCAAGGCATTGGAGGAGTGCAAGGCATTGGAGGAGTGCAAGGCATTGGAGGAGTGCAAGGCATTGGAGGAGTGCAAAGCATTGGAGGAGTGCAAGGCGTTGGAGGAGTGCAAGGCGTTGGAGGAGTGCAAGGCGTTGGAGGAGTGCAAGGCGTTGGAGGAGTGCAAGGCATTGGAGGAGTGCAAGGCATTGGAGGAGTGCAAGGCATTGGAGGAGTGCAAGGCATTGGAGGAGTGCAAGGCATTGGAGGAGTGCAAGGCATTGGAGGAGTGCAAGGCATTGGAGGAGTGCAAGGCATTGGAGGAGTGCAAGGCATTGGAGGAGTGCAAGGCATTGGAGGAGTGCAAGGCATTGGAGGAGTGCAAGGCATTGGAGGAGTGCAAGGCATTGGAGGAGTGCAAGGCATTGGAGGAGTGCAAGGCATTGGAGGAGTGCAAGGCATTGGAGGAGTGCAAGGCATTGGAGGAGTGCAAGGCATTGGAGGAGTGCAAGGCATTGGAGGAGTGCAAGGCATTGGAGGAGTGCAAGGCATTGGAGGAGTGCAAGGCATTGGAGGAGTGCAAGGCATTGGAGGAGTGCAAGGCATTGGAGGAGTGCAAGGCGTTGGAGGAGTGCAAGGCGTTGGAGGAGTGCAAGGCGTTGGAGGAGTGCAAGGCGGTGGAGGAGTGCAAGGCATTGGAGGAGTGCAAGGCATTGGAGGAGTGCAAGGCATTGGAGGAGTGCAAGGCATTGGAGGAGTGCAAGGCATTGGAGGAGTGCAAGGCATTGGAGGAGTGCAAGGCATTGGAGGAGTGCAAGGCATTGGAGGAGTGCAAGGCATTGGAGGAGTGCAAGGCATTGGAGGAGTGCAAGGCATTGGAGGAGTGCAAGGCATTGGAGGAGTGCAAGGCATTGGAGGAGTGCAAGGCATTGGAGGAGTGCAAGGCATTGGAGGAGTGCAAGGCATTGGAGGAGTGCAAGGCATTGGAGGAGTGCAAGGCATTGGAGGAGTGCAAGGCATTGGAGGAGTGCAAGGCATTGGAGGAGTGCAAGGCATTGGAGGAGTGCAAGGCATTGGAGGAGTGCAAGGCGTTGGAGGAGTGCAAGGCGTTGGAGGAGTGCAAGGCATTGGAGGAGTGCAAGGCATTGGAGGAGTGCAAGGCATTGAAGGAGTGCAAGGCATTGGAGGAGTGCAAGGCATTGGAGGAGTGCAAGGCATTGGAGGAGTGCAAGGCATTGGAGGAGTGCAAGGCATTGGAGGAGTGCAAGGCATTGGAGGAGTGCAAGGCATTGGAGGAGTGCAAGGCATTGGAGGAGTGCAAGGCATTGGAGGAGTGCAAGGCATTGGAGGAGTGCAAGGCATTGGAGGAGTGCAAGGCATTGGAGGAGTGCAAGGCATTGGAGGAGTGCAAGGCATTGGAGGAGTGCAAGGCATTGGAGGAGTGCAAGGCATTGGAGGAGTGCAAGGCATTGGAGGAGTGCAAGGCATTGGAGGAGTGCAAGGCATTGGAGGAGTGCAAGGCATTGGAGGAGTGCAAGGCATTGGAGGAGTGCAAGGCATTGGAGGAGTGCAAGGCATTGGAGGAGTGCAAGGCATTGGAGGAGTGCAAGGCATTGGATTGGAGGAGTGCAAGGCGTTGGAGGAGTGCAAGGCGTTGGAGGAGTGCAAGGCGTTGGAGGAGTGCAAGGCATTGGAGGAGTGCAAGGCATTGGAGGAGTGCAAGGCATTGGAGGAGTGCAAGGCATTGGAGGAGTGCAAGGCATTGGAGGAGTGCAAGGCATTGGAGGAGTGCAAGGCATTGGAGGAGTGCAAGGCATTGGAGGAGTGCAAGGCATTGGAGGAGTGCAAGGCATTGGAGGAGTGCAAGGCATTGGAGGAGTGCAAGGCATTGGAGGAGTGCAAGGCATTGGAGGAGTGCAAGGCATTGGAGGAGTGCAAGGCATTGGAGGAGTGCAAGGCATTGGAGGAGTGCAAGGCATTGGAGGAGTGCAAGGCATTGGAGGAGTGCAAGGCATTGGAGGAGTGCAAGGCATTGGAGGAGTGCAAGGCATTGGAGGAGTGCAAGGCATTGGAGGAGTGCAAGGCATTGGAGGAGTGCAAGGCATTGGAGGAGTGCAAGGCATTGGAGGAGTGCAAGGCATTGGAGGAGTGCAAGGCATTGTAGGAGTGCAAGGCATTGGAGGAGTGCAAGGCATTGGAGGAGTGCAAGGCATTGGAGGAGTGCAAGGCGTTGGAGGAGTGCAAGGCATTGGAGGAGTGCAAGGCATTGGAGGAGTGCAAGGCATTGGAGGAGTGCAAGGCATTGGAGGAGTGCAAGGCATTGGAGGAGTGCAAGGCATTGGAGGAGTGCAAGGCATTGGAGGAGTGCAAGGCATTGGAGGAGTGCAAGGCATTGGAGGAGTGCAAGGCATTGGAGGAGTGCAAGGCATTGGAGGAGTGCAAGGCATTGGAGGAGTGCAAGGCATTGGAGGAGTGCAAGGCATTGGAGGAGTGCAAGGCATTGGAGGAGTGCAAGGCATTGGAGGAGTGCAAGGCATTGGAGGAGTGCAAGGCATTGGAGGAGTGCAAGGCATTGGAGGAGTGCAAGGCATTGGAGGAGTGCAAGGCATTGGAGGAGTGCAAGGCATTGGAGGAGTGCAAGGCATTGGAGGAGTGCAAGGCATTGGAGGAGTGCAAGGCATTGGAGGAGTGCAAGGCATTGGAGGAGTGCAAGGCATTGGAGGAGTGCAAGGCATTGGAGGAGTGCAAGGCATTGGAGGAGTGCAAGGCATTGGAGGAGTGCAAGGCATTGGAGGAGTGCAAGGCATTGGAGGAGTGCAAGGCATTGGAGGAGTGCAAGGCATTGGAGGAGTGCAAGGCATTGGAGGAGTGCAAGGCATTGGAGGAGTGCAAGGCATTGGAGGAGTGCAAGGCATTGGAGGAGTGCAAGGCATTGGAGGAGTGCAAGGCGTTGGAGGAGTGCAAGGCGTTGGAGGAGCGAACAAGTTTGCATGCCTCTTATTTAGGCGCTGTAGAAATATGGGATTGGTTTTAATGAAGCCTTTATGCCACCTGCAGCACGTTCCATCATATGCCAGCATGCCTTCCCTCTGCCTAGCTCCGTTTCTCACCTTCACATCCAACCACATCTACAGAACCCCACTTTCACACCCACCCACCTTGACAGCAACCACCTCCTGCTCCCTGCCAGCCAGGCGATCAGCATGGACTCACACGAGCAGGCATGCACACACACACCCGCTCTCACACGAGCAGGCATGCACACACACACCCGCTCTCACACCCACCCACCGACCCTCCCACCCACCTTGACAGCAACCACCTCCTGCTCCCTGCCCGCCAGGCGAATCAACATGGCGGCCTCCCTCCTCCGCGCTGCCAGCAGCTTCTCCTGCACCTGCGCCTCTGCCTCCCGCACTGTCTCAAACGCTGCCACCACCGCTGCTGGCTCTGTTTGGGAGATGAGGGGAGGACATGAGAGGAAGTGGAGAGGATGGAAAGGAGGGTGACAAATGTTGAGGAAATGGAAGGTTGTGCCTGTGTGTCACTGAATCCCGATCCTAGGGGAACAGGAAAGGCAGGGCAGCTCACCAGCGGTGGTCTCAGGCGCAAGGATGTTGGCAGGGTGGGAGGCCGTGCACACGTGGCACTTATTCCGGACCCCAGGGGGAGGAAGGCATGGAAGGGAAGGCAGGGTAGCTCACCAGCAGAAGTCTCAGGCGCAAGGATGTTGGCAGGGTGGAAGGCTGTGCGTGCGCCACTTGTGCAAATCCGCAAGGGAGCAGGAAGGCAGGGGAACTGGCAGTACGTGAGGAGGCAGCGCAGGGCAGCTCACCAGCGGTGGTCTCAGGGGCAAGGATGTTGGCGGGATGAAAGGTCGTGCTTGTGTGCCGCTTAATTCGGATCCTAGGGAAAGGAAGGAAGGCAGGGCGGCTCACCAGCGGTAGTTTCAGTCGCAAGGATGTTGGCGGGATGGAAGGCCGAGCGCCACTTCTGCAGATCCGCGTGTGCCTCATCCAATTGTGACTGTAACGGATGGGAACAGGTGGGAGTCGTCAGAACGAGCAGTCACTGTTGGTGAGTCCTAACGGATTTAGGTCAAGACAATTGTATTGTTGGTTGTTGATGGGAGAAGGAGGTCAGGACAGCAGAGACCTTGTTTTAAGAATTCTGACAGAATGCGTGTAAGCGCACCTGCAGCTTCTTGATGGCAGCATCCTTCTCCTCCATGCTGCCATGTGGAAGAGAGACAGGCAGAGAGAGGGTGACACGTGGCGGAGGCATAGTGAGAGCAGGTCAGTCAGTTTCTGTGACTGCAGGGGCGTTGTGCACGAAGAGAAAGAAGCGCAAAGGTTGGACACTAGCTGTGAGAAGACCTGAAACCCTAGATTGTACAGGAAGAAAAACTCAACGCACCAGGCACGAAGAGTGAGAATGGTGGTGGTGGAATGGTTTTTGCATGAACTCAAAAGTCATCTCAGAACTCAACGCACCAAGCACGGAGAGTGAGAATGGTGGTGGTGGCATGGTCGTCTGCTGCAGTCACGGCAGCAGGGAATGACGCCTGAGGGAGACATGGGATACACCATGCAGCATACGGTGTGTAACATACGTCATTCACCACGCATCATGCATCATGTGGCATGCACAATGCTCCACAGCCACGCATCATGCACCATCCACCATGCACCATGCACCGTCCATCATGCACCATGCACCATCTACCATGCACCATCCATCATGCACCATGCACCATACACCTTGCACCATCCACCATGCATCATACACCATGCACCATCCACCATGCATCATCCACCATCCACCATGCATCATCCATCATCCATCATGCACCATGCACCACGCACCATCCACCATGCACCATCCGTCATACGTCATTCACCACGCATCATGCATCATGTGGCATGCACAATGCTCCACAGCCACGCATCATGCACCATCCACCATGCACCATGCACCATCCATCAGGCACCATGCACCATCTACCATGCACCATCCATCATGCACCATGCACCATACACCTTGCACCATCCACCATGCATCATACACCATGCACCATCCACCATGCATCATCCACCATCCACCATGCATCATCCATCATCCATCATGCACCATGCACCACGCACCATCCACCATGCACCATCCACCATGCACCAAACACCATGCACCATGCATCATCAACCATGCAATACGGACGAAGAATCAGGAACCATAAGACCCAGCAGGCAGGGAGCAACGCAGAAAAGACGCCATAAATTCAGCAAACAAAAAATCCTTGGAGTGGTAACCATCTAACAAACCCACCTGCTCATCCTCCATAGGATATATATCCACCTCCTCTTCTACCTCCTCCACCTCTTCCACCTCCTCCCCAACCTCCTCCACCTCCCCTCCCCCGCCTCCCCCATCGAATCCCGACAAAACAGCACCGCCAGCCTTCAAACGGTCAGTCGAGATCTTCGTGCGAGCGGCGGCGGCAGATTCTTGACCGTTGGTGGCCCCGACTCGCGAATCGACAGGTCCTTCGAACTCGAAATCATCCTATAATCAGAAACAGCAGATAAATACCAGGATAAACTTGAACATGGAAATTCTAGTGTGCTAGGACCTATATCGCTCGCGGTTTACGATGCCATTGATCCTGATACAGAAGCACTGCTCACGTGACATGAGGCCTGCTGATCGAGAAAGATATGAAACAATGATTGCTCCGAAGAGACATCCCGAAGAATGCATTTCGTTATGACGAAGAGATTTTAGACACTCGAATCAGTACTAGCTGTATAAACTAAAACACCGGGTGAATGGGACGACATGGATGGACGATAAGGAGGTAGTGACGAGCTGCGTAGGCTTTAGATTGCGCATCAAGCAAGGAAAAACGGTTTCGCATAACGACGCTTCCAGTCGTTTCTTATCCTCGCAGAACCTACCTCATCCATCGAAACGGCTGCTTATTCGCAATAATCCCACGCGTGTGGACTGCACGTATCGACCACACGCTAATTGATGATTCGCTGCAAGACCGACAGCGCCGAAGAGCACCAAACTATGCCGATTACGTGCCGAGGGCGTATGTAAACGAGACTTACCTGACGACCATAAGGCGAGGAATGGCTTTTTAGGCTGCTGATGCGCCTGGGATGGGGGAAAGATGAACTTCATGAAGGCTGCGTTCTTTTGCCAAAAACGGGCATCCTCGAGCCTAGAAAGTTTCAGAAATTGTTTCAAAATGTTCGCTACAATCATGTCCCCTTCGCCTTGGCTTGGAGACTTCTATTTCTTTACACCCAGTTGCGGTATATGTGCTTCTGGCAAGGTATTAGGTCTTGCTGGCAAGGCTTGATTGCAAGAACGAGCTAAAAAAAACCACTACATAAGCTCTTCCTCCACAAGATAGGCGACTGTTACATAGTCTAGAGGCAATTCCAACCATTTGCACCCTACAACATCTGCACTCTTTCTAAACCCCTCCCTACCATCATCATCAGCACTACCAGCAGCAGCAGAAGCAGCAGCAGCAGCACCACTACTACTGGTACCACCAGTCCTGTTCATAGCCATGCCTTTGGATAAGCAGTTGAGCTCATGGTACCCCGCCAATTGAGCGGCTTCGCTTTCCCAAACCCCCTCCCCATCTCCCTCCTCATCATCTCCATCCTCCCCATCTGCCTCCCCCTCCTGCCCCCCATTCACTTTTCCCTGTCCCCCCTGCCCTTTCACCTCCGCTTCCCCCTGCACTCCCCCCTTCCGCCTCCGCCTCAGCCTAAATTGCTTCCCTCCCAGAAACCCCTTCTCTATAAAGTGCTTCACTATGCGTCCTCCCTCCCTTGTCACACGTCCTTCCAGCCCCTCATACAGCTCACCATCCATATCCACATAGTATCTCACATCCAGACAAAACTCGCACGCCACCGCAGCTTCGGCTAATCTCCGAAGCACGAGCTGAGGCTCAGTGGCTGGATGCCTGCTTCGGGCATAGGCTCGGGCGACAGCATTGAGGTTTCCGAACCCAAAGAGGTGGTTCGGCTCAAGAGCGTTGCCTTCGCCCCACTCGTTCCAAGCTGCAACAAAGAAGAATGTCCCATTTGCAACCCCCACTTGCACTGTCCCATTCGCAACCCCCTCCTGTGGCTCTTTTGGAACCGCACCTTTGTCCGAACCTCTTTGCACTTTCTCTGAACCTTCTTGGACTTGACCTAAGCTAAGTCCTTCAGTTCTTGTGCCGTCTGGGCTGCCGAACCTTGCCTGGTCCTCAGCTATGTCCTGCCGAGCCAGCCTCATCCGAGCCTCCATCCTTGCTGTCAAGTGGATCGGGTCCTCTGCCACATCCCCGTGCCTCCACGACAGGTCCGTTGAGTGCCTGGGGAAATTATCCCAAGCCACGTACGAGCCTCGGTAATGGTTCGGATGAAGCCGAGCCGCGGATGGGGTCTCGCCGAACCTCCACTTGCTGTAGTTAGGCTCGTATTCTGCCACGGCTTGGACAAGGGATCGTTGGCTCGGTTTGCTGTTGGGATTCGTGAGGCACTGGAACAGATGCAGGCCCGGGAAGCCTTGCTGCCGAGCCAGGCTATGCCAGAGGTCAAACATCCCCCTTGCCTCAGGTTCGGGAATGTCGCCGAGTTTGTAAATACCAAACATAGGCCGGCCTGATACCTGGTGGGGTGGAGACGAGTGCGAAAGAGTGAACGTAAGGAAAGAGGGAAGAAACACAATATTAACATCAAGAGCCAAAGGAAAAGAGAAGTTAGTTAGTTTACATCAGATATACACGAATCGTCAGTTAGGTTAAAATTACCAGTTGAGGGAGGCAGCTTGGCTTGGCTTGGACAAGCATGGGTGGGACCAAGCTACCTAAAGAATTGCACAGCCTTGCAGAAAATAATTCCATACCTTGATGTAGTTTGGATGGTTGAAGAATTTCAACAGCCAGTCGAAATGCTCCTTCCAGCATTCCTCATCCCCATAAGTCTGTTCCAACAGCACTTCACTCCTTCCCCCTCCCCCTCCCCCTCTTGCCCCGTCCCACCGATTTGTCCACGGCTCATTTGCCCAGATAAGACAAAACGGGAGGTTGGGCTCGCCGTCCTCTAGCATCCGGAGCAGAGGCTCGGCGAGCGTGGTTCGGCGGCATCCGAACCAGTAGTGGTGGTAGCACAGGCCATGGAACCCGTAGGCTCGGGCCAGAGCTGAGGTTCGGCGGCGGTGGGAGCGGGAAAGGAAGTTATAGTAACCACTGGAGAGGGGCGAGAGGGGGTGCGAGATCGAGAGTGCGTTTGGGACGGGGGAAGAGAGGGAGTGGAGAGCGGTATGGGGAGGTTCGGGAGGAGTTGCGGGGCCGATGGGGTGCGCGACAGGGCGGAAGGTGGTGGGGTGGAAGAAGGCTCGTTTGACGTTGTCCCACTCGGTGAAATTGACTCCCCAAAACTCATCGTTCTCTCTGCATGCGTGGAACTGGGAGGGAGCAGGAAGGGGAGGCAGCAGGAAGGGGAGGCAGCAGGAAGGGGAGGCAGCAGGAAGGGGAGGGAGCAGGAAGGGGAGGCAGCAGGAAGGGGAGGCAGCAGGAAGGGGAGGCAGCAGGAAGGGGAGGCAGCAGGAAGGGGAGGGAGCAGGAAGGGGAGGCAGCAGGAAGGGGAGGCAGCAGGAAGGGGAGGCAGCAGGAAGGGGAGGCAGCAGGAAGGGGAGGCAGCAGGAAGGGGAGGCAGCAGGAACGGGGGAGAAGCAGCAGAAGGCACAGATGTCCATATTTGTTCCACCTGGTGAAATTGACGCCCCGCCCCAGAACTGGTCATTCTCCGTGCACACGTGGAACTAGAAAAGAGCAGGAAGGGTAGGAGCAGCATAAGGCACATATTTCCACTTCTGCCCCACTTGGTGGAATTCACTCCTAGAAGTGACTGCTCCCCCAGTATGGATGGAAAGTGGGAGAACAGTCACTTGTGGGAGTGAATCCCCTACTGTTCTCCCAGTACGGATGGCACTGGTAGGGGAAACAGGGGAGGATGGAGATACGGGGGGGAACGAACGGAGAGAGGAGGAGGAATGGGAGAGGAGGAGAGCAGGTGACATGCCTCTGTGTGCCCCGTCCCATGCGACGATGGCAAGGCAAGCATGCATGCTCTGAACGTCTTTGTGCATACCTCATTCAGCAGAGGGACGATGCCCACCCAACGGCACCACACATCACCCCAATGCACCGCACAAGCATCCCATCATACTGCACATCACCCCACCCCACCACACTGCACATCACCCCATCGCACCGCACATCACCTGTGGAAAGACTATCGCAATGAGCTTCAGATCCGAATCCACAGCCACTCCTTTCACGCCCACACCACTGCCGCCCGCTCCCCTCTCCGATTCTTCGAGCAGCAGCTGCACATCTTTGGGCGGCAGCTCTAGCAGCTCCAGCTCTTCGGGCGGCAGCTGCATCTCCTTGGGCGGCAGCTGCACGAGTGGCAGCTGGCGCAGCAGAGAGAAGGCACACCCCCGCCGCAGGTGGCGGCACGCCGGGTTCTTTGTGAAGGGCGGGCGCGCTCTGGAATAGAGGGGGGGAGGCAGGAAGAAGAGGGGGAAGACTTTTGAGTCAACTCAGAAGTCAGGTGGCAGCATGCCGAGATCTTAGAGAAGGGCGGGCTCGCTCTGGAATAGAGGGCGCCGGGATGAGGGGGGAAGAGGGGGAAAGGGCGCGAGTGGCAGAGAAAAGGCACACCCCCGCCGCAGGTGCCGACCTGCTGGATTCCTAGAGAAGAGCGGGCTCGCTCTGGAATAGAGGGCGGGAGTCGGGGGGAAGAGGGGGGAGGTGCAGGGGGAGGGGGGTTGGGGGAGGGGAACGAGCAGGGAAGGAAGGGGGGAGAGAAGGGCAAGGAAAGGGGAAATGGGAGATGGGGAGAGGGAGGATGGAAAACAGGGATGATGGAATTTGAGGGAAGAACAGTGGGGAGAGGGGCGAGTGGGAAAAGAATGGAGGGTGGAAACAAGAGGGACGGGGGAGGAGAGGGGTATGAGGGGAAGGGAGGAGGAGGGGAGGGGGAATGCAGGGGGGATGCAGCAAAGACAAAAAAGAGTGCTGACATGTCAGCAGATGACAGTGCAGAGCACTAACACCCTCACGTGTTTCGAACAAATCTGAAGTCAAAAGCCGTGTCGAAAAACGCCCCAGCAATTCCCGGGTAGTCTGCACGGGTAACACTATCCTGATTGCTCACTCCCGTGAGCAAATCATGCCACGCCACCTGTCGGCTGCGCTTCAACCCGCAGCGCGCCGCCGCTTCGTTCATGGCGGACCAATAGCGACGCGCGAACCACGCCACGATGGCGCGCTCCGGTGGAGGGAAGGGCGGAGGATTGTCCTCGTTAGAAGCGTCTTCGATAACGTCGTAAAAGCTACTCGTGCCGTTGCTGCTGCTGCTGCTGCTGTTCTTAGTGCAGCAATCAGCGGAGATATGCTGATGCGGGGACGCCGAACTGGTAGAGTTGCCGACCGACGCGGAGAGGGGAGGGGAGCGAGAGAGAGGAGAGGCCGGGAGAACGGGTGGAGAGGAGGAGTGGAGGAGGCCGAGGAAAACGACAAGCATGCCCGCTTGCAGCGCAATGATGACTGCATCTGACGTCAGCGGCACGCATTTGCGTAGTCGGTGTGTCCACAGGGATGAAGCCGTCGGCCCTTGCATCAGGACGCTCCGATAAGACGTGGCTCGATACGATTAAGGAAATGGCATAGCGAAGATTAGGTTTCCATCGTAATGTGACTCTCATTGATCGGAACAACAGCCAGGTGAAGGGTCTATGCTGATGAGATCTGTTCGTATTGTAACCCTTGCGGCGTCAATAGCCATCCCATTAGGCTCTACAGTTGATGCCCAAGCTTCTCGTATCAACTTGCTCGTCCCATGCGCGATGCCATCTCCCATAAGCACCTGAGCAACCGCACATCGTCTAAAAGCCCCTGCGACTCGGTTTCCACTGTTGTATATCCTGTTGTTATTATGTAACATGTGGTACAAACACACAGAGCTTGCCGGCCCACCTGACGAAATTTGCGACATCGTAGCCAAACTTCACTAGCGCAGGTACAACACGTCGAGCTCGTACATGTAAATCGAAGAGTGTACGAAGAGGTAAGCTCCAGTATCGCTCAACACCCAGGGAAGCAGTGCCACGTCGATTTAGTTGATGCCGTCGCACCGACGGCAGCGCTCTTGGTTATCATCCTAGATTTTGAACCCGGGGTCGAAACTGTGAGTAACCGGGAAACCGGGAAACCGGGAAACCGGGAAACCGGGAAACCGGGATACCGGGATACCGGGATACCGGGATACCGGGATACCGGGATACCGGGAAACCGGGAAACCGGGATACCGGGATACCGGGATACCGGGATACCGGGAAACCGGGAAACCGGGAAACCGGGAAACCGGGAAACCGGGAAACCGGGAAACCGGGAAACCGGGAAACCGGGATACCGGGATACCGGGATACCGGGATACCGGGAAACCGGGAAACCGGGAAACCGGGAAACCGGGAAACCGGGAAACCGGGAAACCGGGAAACCGGGATACCGGGATACCGGGATACCGTAACCTTCGCTGCTCGCCATTCAAATGCTTTGGTTTGGTACTTTTTTTTTAATGAACACGCCCTAGCGCATTCGGCACTTGGCTGTAAAACCCAGCCGAACCAGTTGGTGCGTGTTTCCAAATTCTAGATCAACCATAGAACCCCTGTTCAATAGGCTAACACCTTGCAAAAGGAGAGTGTTAGGCTAGTGTAAAAACTGCGATCTACATTCAAAATGTCTTTTTTGGGGGCATTTAGGGTGCACACCCTAGGATGGATGCTGATTGGGGAACGAAATGATCCTTTTCCAGAAATGAAGGAGCGAATGTTTCAAACAGAACTGGCGAATCCCGCCAGTCTCGTGAAAGGTTCGGTTGGGGGGTAAATATTTCGGGAGGAGAGGGTTGTGTTGGCGATTTCGCCACAACGTGCAACCAATCCCGGTTGGGAAGGAGATTGGCGCGAAAACTAGAAGCCAAACCTGTTTCGCCCAATTTTCAGAAGTCACAAAGCAGTGACTGCACCTCGCCACTCAAGGTTGGAGCGAAGCTTGGTGCTACCGTGTTTTCAAGTGATAAACCTAGGCCTCCTGCAGGAAGTATGTAGGCGACAGCTTTAAGGGGAGGGTTCAGCGCAACTTCCCCGAGCTGATCGACCGCCCAACCCAATCGGAAGCCCCGCCCCTAGAGATCGGAAGGAGCGGGGCCCACAAGGCGAAGCTGCTCGCCCCCTTCTACATGGGTCTCGCAGGCTGTGTAGACAAATTTGGGCTGCTCGCTAGAGGGGTCTGGGTAACAACACCGGTAAAACAAAAGGCCTTCCCCACAAATCGCTCGCCTCACAAGAAGATTGGCCCAGACACAATTCGATTAGGTTTTAGATTGGCATATTTTTTTTAAACAGTCTGGTTTTGCGGGTTTTGTTTTGGGTTCACGTTGTGGGTGTCCCTCCCACTGCAAACACTTGACGAGCCCTTTGGCAAACCCCACTTTTGGGGGGCGAGGGTTAGGGTACGTGTTACGATATGAAACTTTATGAGAAGACATTCATGTATGCTGCAGGAGCCGACTCTATCGAGTACGAAGTCGATGAGTCAGAAGAGTCGAAGCGACGTTGGTAACTGTCTGACCAAGACCGATGCAGGCAGAAACATTTGAACTGAAAGAGCGGGAACATGTTTGAAACGGGTTCCCGCACCGCACGGTTTGAACTTCGCTGTAATAAAGAAATGCGTCCCTTAGAGTACATGGCTAGTCTAGGTCGTTTCGTATTCCTTTGTATTTCCTATATAAAGTAGATGTATGCATGCTATTATCAATCTCAGTAATTTACATTCACTCTGACCTGAGGTCAACTCTTCCGCTGCAACACTAGCCTGCGATCAACCATGAGCGATCCTTCGCTAAGTCCTACTTGGGATTGTAACAGTACGTTCTTGGCTGGTGTCTAGAATCTTGACATGAAGCCGTGAAGGGTTGAGATTTCAGTAGATTTTGACGACGATGACGTGGAATGATAAAAAACGTCCAATTGCCTTGTGTCAACGAGCCTGACACCAGCCAAGAACGAACCCTTAGGCTAGGCGAGGGCTAAACCTTCGCCTGTGTCTTTCTGAGAGGGCGAAGGCTTCTTGTCTGGGCTGCGTTCTACAGGCTAACACTGTGCCACCAGGTTGAGGAGCTTTAAAGCCCCTTTTCACCATTTTACGGGCTGACCGTAGAAAAAAATCCTAAACCGAAACAGCCGCGATCCCGCGGCCGTCGGTGTTAGCCAATCGAACAGGGCCGAAAGTTCCACTGTTACCTCCACTTCCATGCAGCATGTTTCAATTTCCTTATGAGCATATCCGCTTTGCCTTCAGGCTTCCAGAGGTTACCTAGAGTACTAGTTCTCTTTCTTGCTGATGGGTCAACTGAATGGCTGTTGACGACGCGAGTGCTCCGACTCTAGTTCCTAAGTGTTGTTTCCGTGACGATAAAAACCTAGTCTTCGGTATGCCATCTCTTTAGTAGTATCGAGGCGCATTCTATTGGAATGTCCTGATGCGAGGACCAACGGCCTCAACCCTACAGGCGCACCGGCTCCGCCAATGCGTGCCGCTGACGTTAGCTGCAGTCATCATTGCGCTGCAATTGGGCTTGCTTGTCGTTTTCCTCCGCCTCCTCCACTCCTCCTCTCCACCCGTCCTCCCGGCCTCTCCTCTCTTTCGCTCCCTTACCCTCTCCGCCTCAATCGGCGACTCTACCAATTCGGCGTCCCCGCATCAGCATATCTCCGCTGATTGTTGCACTACGAACAGCAGCAGCAGCAGCAGCAATGGCACGAGTAGCTCCTACGAGGACAATCCTCCGCCCTTCCCTCCACCGGAGCGCGCCATCGTGGCGTGGTTCGCGCGCCGCTATTGGTCCGCCATGAACGCAGCAGCGGCGCGCTGCGGATTGAAGCGCAGCCGCCAGGTGGCATGGCATGATTTACTCGCGGGAGTGAGCAATCAGGATAGGGTTACCCGCGCAGACTACCCGGGAATCGCAGGGGCGTTTTTCGACACATCGTTTGACTTCAGATTCGTCAGGAACATGTGAGGCTGGCTGGTCTGGTGTCGTCGCGTGGTTATCCGCTTACGTGTCACCCTCTTTGTCTAAGCATCCCTCCTGACTCCCCCCATTTCCCCCCTCCTCCCTTCCTACCCCCCTTAGTCTGCACTCCATGCTTTCCCCAGTCCCTCCGTTCTTCCCTCATATTCCATCATCCCTTTTTCCAATCCTCCCTCTCCCATCTCCTGCATCCCCTTTCCTTCCCTTCTGCCCCCCTCCCCTTCCCCACTCCGCGCTTTCCCCCTCTCCTCACCCCCCTCCGCGCCTTCCAATTCTTCCCCCCGCCTTGCCCCCTCTAGCCCAGAGCACGGCCGCCTTTCACTAAGAACCCGGCGTGTCGGCATCTGCGGCGGGGGTGTGCCTTCTCGCTGCTGCGCCAGCTGCCACTCGTGCACCTGCCGCCCAAGGAGCTGCTGTCGCCGCCCGAAGAGCTGCATCTGCTGCCCGGAGAATTGAAACGGGGAGCGGGCGGCAGCGAGGTGGCTGTCGATCCGGATCTGAAGCTCATTGCGATAGTCTTCCCACAGGTGATGTGCGGTTTGATGAGGTGATGTGCGGTGGGATGAATGTGCGGTGCTGCTGGGTGGGCATTTTTTCTCTGATTGATTGAGTTACCATGCTTCATGAGGTCCAGCGCATGATTGCTTGCCTTGCCATGATTGCGTGGGATGGGTGGCAGAGCCACAAAACCAACTCATCTCTTCCTCCGTTCCCCTCCATTTTCCATCCTCCCGTGTTCCTTCCCCAGTTCCACGCATGCAGAGAGAACGATGAGTTTTGGGGGGTCAATTTCACCGAGTGGGACAACGTCAAACGAGCCTACTTCCACCCCACCACCTTCCGCCCTGTCGCACACCCCATCGGCCCCGCAACTCCTCCCGAACCTCCCCATACCGCTCTACACTCCCTCTCTTCCCCCATCCCGAACGCACTTCCAATCTCCCACCCCCTCTCGCCCCTCTCCGGTGGGTATTATAACTTCCTTTCTCGCTCCCATCGCCGCCGAACCTCAGCTCTGGCCCAAGCGTACGGGTTTCATGGCCTGTGCTACCACCACTACTGGTTCGGCTGCCGCCGAACCACGCTCGCTGAGCCTCTGCTCCGGATGCTAGAGGACGGCGAGCCCA